ATTATTGGTAACTTATCGGAGTCCACAGAATTTCTATCTAAAGAAAGAACCTTACACTCATTTGTAACATTTCAGAAGGACAATACAAATTATTATTTATTATTCGTTAAAGTATACCATTATGAAAAGAATACTTATGAAGATATCTTTAAAAGCTTAATTAATCTAAAAACCGAATTTATTGCAAACAACGTTACAGAATTTAGTATAACTGATTTTCGCAATCCTTTTGATGTACATACATTTACAAAAATATATAACATAATTACGTACCTATTCCACAATACAAACATAAATCCACATTTATAAAAATTCCATTATATATCCAACGATGACTGAAATAAATAAAATCTTAAAAGAGAACCATGATATCCCTATCTCGGGTCATCTAGGTTCTAATAGAATGTTAAATAGAATCCAAGAACGATATTACTGGCGAAACATGCGCAGTGACGTCGAAAATTATGTCCGCAAATGTGAATTATGCCAAACCAATAAAGCCCTGCGTAAAGTTAACCGAGCTCCTATGCAGATTACGAGTACATCTACACAACCCTTTGAACGTGTCGCGCTAGATCTCGTTGGCCCTCTCCCGGAGGCCGGACCTTCTAAATATAAATTTATATTTACACTACAGGATGACCTTACAAAATATTCAGCTGCATATCCCTTACCCAACGCCACGGCTGAGGAATCTGCCGAGTGCCTTATCCACTTCATCTGTCAATTCGGCATACCGAAATCTATCTTAACAGACCAGGGTACAAACTTCACGGCTGAATTATTTAAACAAACGTGCACTTTTCTCAAAATTAAACAACTTTGGTCCAGTCCTTATCACCCACAAACTCAGGGTGCTCTTGAACGTAGTCATTCCACCCTAAAGGAGTATCTTAAGTCCTTTATAAATTAACACCAACATAATTGGCCAAGGTATGTTTTCACTGCAATGCTCACGTATAATACTACAGTTCACTCAACAACAAATTTTACCCCATATGAATTAGTTTTTGGCCATAAGCCCTTTATCCCGTCCTCTATTTACGATACTTCCTTAGAACCGACATATAATAGCTATGTACGTGTTCTACAACAACGTTTAAAGCTTTCTAGAGAAAAGGCTCTAGGGAACATATTAAAATCAAAATCGATTTCCTAAATCATACTATGATAAACGAACTAAGCCCATTAAGTATAAAGTAGGTGATATGGTGTATGTGAAAAATCACTTACGGCTCCGTAAGGCCTTATCACCCATATGGAAAGGTCCCTTTAAAGTTGTCCGAATAAACGGAAACAACACATTAACATTACTAATAAATCGTCGACACGTAAAGTATCATTACGATGATCTCAAACTAGCGGAAACTAATTCCGAATAAACATATTTTATCATAAGATTTTATATTTTACATTTTATTTTTATTGAATTTTATTGATTCATTTCAAACTAATTGTTACTTAAGCGTAGATGTAGTTATTTAGACGTAGCATAGATAATAAAACTAGATTCTGTCATATTTCAGAATTACCACGGCGATTAACTTCGTTGTCGCATCAAATATTATAGAACAGATAAACGAAAGTCCCGGAATCTATTTCGACCCAGCGGGTTCTATTAAAATCACGGATGATTACCTTCATGTATTAATTCCCATTGACATTAGTTACATAAAACCTCACATCGATAATATAAAAACCATCTTAGGAACCGCTAGATTTTTCTGTCAACAGAGTGAATATAACAATAATTCTAAATGTCATAATTATTTGTTACCTTTGGTGCCGCGTCTTGACAGTATTCTAAGAGATTATAGTGCTATATCACATTTGATTTCGGATAGAGATAAAAGATCTGCGTGGTTTGCTGGAATTGGGTCCGCATTTAAACAGATAATAGGAACAATGGATGAGAATGACGCAATCAGATACAATAATGCCATTCAAACTTTAGATGATAATAATAAAAAACTTGCTTCTCTTGTTAAAGATAAAATTCTGATGACAAATGCAGCCATAAATAATCATAACGAAACCTTAAAAGCTATTAAAATCAACGAAGCCCGTTTGAATAGCGCTATTGAATCCTTAAATATTGGTGTTAACGGCCTATCCAATACAACATCAATACTATATGTAGAATCGAAAATGAACGAAATTTATAATGAGTTATCTTCTAGTTTATTTACTCTATCATTTAGAATCGAGAATGTCATCGACTCTATTATGTTTACAAAAAGCCACGCGATTCACCCATTATCATTACACCAACACAACTCTACGAAGAATTATCTCATAATGTTAAAAATTTAGATAATAATTTAGAATTACCTTTAAGTTTAAGTCTGAATAGTATACATTCTTTGATTAACTTAGCGCAACTGTCATGCTACTACGTAAATAAGGAAATTGTATTTGTAATTAAGATACCCTTAGTTACTAGAATAGAATACAGTTTGTATAAAACTATACCTGTACCGATTCCACACGACAAAAACCATCCTTATTCCTATGCGATGGTGATTCCAAATTGTAATTACATAGCTATAAGTAGAGATAAGACAACATATATATATCTTAATGATTTAAGAGATTGTGTTAATATTATTAATGATATTCATATTTGTAACAAATCGAATGCATATTCAGTTCAAAATATCCCTACTTGTAAAACAGAAATTTTATGTAATGTGTTAGATAAATTACCTCAGCTGTGTAAAACTAAAATAATTCATGGAAAAATCGATATCTGGCAAGAACTAACTGGTAATAGATGGTTATTTGTTGAGACCGATCCTATTAAACTCACTGTTGAATGTCAAGGGCAAATATCAGATTTTAAATTATTAGGTACTGGCATAATGAATTTACCGCCAAGCTGTAAAGCCTTCTGCAGAAATAAAGAATTTTCAAGTAGAAATAACTTTAAAATAACTGTAAAACCTGTAATGTCAGATTTTAACTTAATTAACGACCCTTGCTGTGATGAAATGAAATTTAAATCTCAAGAACCAAAATTGAAACCAATAAAATTAATTGAAGCAAATTTGGAAAAACTTACAAATGTCGCAAATGACCAATTTATGACAGATATCGATAAAATATTAAATGAGCCTAATCCACTTGTCAAGTACGATTCACATTATCCTATACTTACATACTGTATAATTGTTTTCATTTTAATTTTTATATGTTTTAAAATTTATCAGAAATTTGGCAATTGTTTTAACTTTAAATCAAAAGATATTAGAAATCCCGATGCAACAATCGGACCTAGTCAGGAAACAGAGGAAATACCAGTTCCAAGACTCAGGATAATTGCCTGAAACTTAGCATTAAAATGTAAGTTTCCTCTTATCGGGGGGGCTGTTACATCCCTGTACTGTAGGGATTAATAATGAGTAAGTGCTTCATCAGCATCTTTAACTCCATAGATTTATCCCATAGTAAAGTTCAAGCTCAGTTCGGATCTGATCGCGGAACCATTAACACTTGCCGAATTTCTCACGTCTAAGTTGTCCTACATTAATTATATTATAAATTAATTAGTGTTAATAAATAAATTCTTTTTTTAAAAAGATTTTAATTTTTCCAATGATAACAGTACGATGTGACTAAATGATGGAAAAGTGAAGATGAAGAAGGAGTTCTACCTTCCGATGCAAAGGGAGCTCGCTGGATAATACTGCATGCTGGAGGGGAAAATGGTTTCGTGTCCAACGCTAGGTTGATTTTTAAGTCACAAACAAAATCCGGTGATTACCACAATGATATGAACCAAACAAATTTCATGAAGTGGTTGAAAGAAAAACTTGTACCTAATCTCCCTCCGCAAAGTATAGTAGTAATGGATAACGCGCCGTATCATAGCGTCAAAACTAACAAGCAGTGTTGGGCAAATTTTAATTGCAAGAACAATTAAAGATTAACAATTAATTGGTAAATGTAACCACAACAACTTAATTTATTAATCAATTGTAATTGTGAAAAATTAGAATTAACAACTAACAATTAATTTTCAATTCCTTTGTTAATTTTAATTAAAAATAATTATTAAAATACTGCTGTATAATATAAAGCCGGTATATATAAATATACAATATACCCGTGTGGTTCCGGGTAGTAGAATAGTGACCTCCCCCCCCCCCATCTTTTCATGTAGTTAAATATGTTGGCAAAAAATAAAATACCGATCCATCCATGATACAAATCAATACCTTTAATTAAACATGATTAGACAGACAATAACAGTTTAAAATTTCTTGTAATAATTTAAATTACAATTCAGTACCACTCTCTTCTCGAACATGCTGTCTGACAGTTTGTGACTCTTTGGCAGATTTGTCATTGTCGCAAAAGAAAAAAGGCGTTCCACTGCAGCTAACGATGGCAAAGGTGTGTTGTATTTAATAAAAACACTTTTTATCTCAGGATATCTATTGAGAAGTTGCAAATCTTGGCTTTCCTCGGCAAAAAATGCAGCATCAAAAGTTCTGCTTTAGTCATTGGGGCATCGGAGGAGCATCCGTTTTTATCTGAGATTGAAATATCCGAGTCAGAGTCAAAATAAAAAAATATATTTTCATGGGTTCTTTTTGTTGTTGCTACTGTATTTTCACTCATTTGTTTAGAAATGCAGGTCTTGAAAAGTTTCAGAAGTTTAGTACGATCGTTTTACCAATTTTTATTACCGTTTTACCAGTTTTCAACCAATAATTTTTGAATCTAGGGTAAGATAATGCCACAATAGCCGCAATTTCCGCTTCAGGTGTGATGACGTCAAAAATTGTTTCAAATCTCTTCTAAACACTCCCTGTATGCCTTGATCAACGGGTTGCAAAAGGAAAAGTTGTTTTTCTTTTCCATTTTTTTCTCAGCGCAAGTAGGCACGGTAGAGTTATCCCATAATAGGTGTTAGTCTCACTTTGCACTATATCGAGTGCTTCTGCAACTGGCGAAGTACACATCAAATATTCTTGTATGTATTCAAATTCATTTTATTTTAATAGTATTTTCATGTTTAATGATCTATGTAAAAGTAAGCTTTTTTCTTTCATGTTGAAAATTTGCTGGAGGGCATCAAACAAGCTATTCCACCTGGTTTCACCAGGTCGGCTTAACGTGTGCCCTAACACATCCTGTATTGTTTCGGCACTTTTTGGTCGCCCTGCAGCCTTCCACAAAACATTACATTTTTTCATTATTGCAGCATGCATTTGCGACAGAGGCGTGTCTTGCTCGGTTAAAACTTTGTTAGCATCCGTAGTTGCGCAAAGGCTTAAAAAATGCGCACAGCATCGTAAATGAACAGGAAGGAAACAAATATGCTCAGGATTATCTAAATTCCATGATTCACCTTCTTCAACATCTGATTCAGAAGAAGCTTCTGTTGGCTGAGAGTCGGGCATAACTTCATTTTCAATGTTTATATTGGTTAATTTAACACCGAACGTTTTGAAAGCTTTTACGAAATTGCTGCCATTATCCGTCACCGATGCAACAATTTTATTCGTATTGAGGTCGAATTCACCGTTAATTTCTTGAATTATATCGGATAGTCTATCATAGCTGTGGACGCCTCTGAATCGTTGACAATCTAACGCCACTGAAACTCTGCGTAGATCATTTGTGATCCAGTGCGCTGTCCAGATATCTATGGTTGTGCACACATAGGGAACTTTTTCTAGTTCTGACTTTATCTTAGCTACTTGCGTTTCGTAGTGTTTTTCTATACGACGTCCTAGTGTGCGTCGACTCATTAAAATTAGACCCATTTCAGATATATTTAAGTCCGTGAATATTTTGGAAAAATATGGATCTTCTACTGCATGCAATGGAATCATGGAATGTATAAAATATTTCAAAATATTTTCATCGAATTGTTCTTGTGACATTATCTTCTCATTCGACCTCTTTGTTTTACTAGTTGTGATTTTGACAAAAGTATCACCTTTTTTCTTGACCTCACTTTTCTTTTTTTTTACATAGGTTTTATATTCTTCAATGCAATCTTGCCCATGTTTTCGCTTCAGGTGACTTAAAAAGTTCGACGTACAGTTATGAAATCCTTTAACTTTAGTCAATACATCTCTTGGACATTTCATACAAAGCGCTGTGATTTTATTACCCGTACACTTTTCAGGCAAGTATTTGAAAAATGTTCCATCCAGTAAGAGAAGCCGTGCTTGCGACGATGATGAACTCTCGGCGGTGTCGGTTGGTGACACAGGCGAAACCGTTTCTAATGAATCATTTATGTCCGAAACCGAAAGAGTTACCGAAATGTTACTGTCTTCGTCCAATTCGTTTATCGACGCCATTTTATGTTACAAGTCTAGGCAAAAACAATGTATTTTTAACTAAGACACAAACATTTATGTATGCAAAAAGCTTAAACGACACGAGTAAAGAGACTAGTTCACGTGGCGAGCGAGCAATGAGCAGTCTATCGAAAAAAAATGTACGGCTTTCTGTACTTCTTCTACCAACCTACAAATATTACATGTAACTTGCCATCATAGAAAATGAAAAATCTTTTTTTTTAGTTATAAAGTGGCAGCACATACAGTATGTCCAACATTCCGTTTCGAACCAAATCAAAACATCTAAATGGCCGCTGTGTATAGTTCGAGACATAGAAGAGCTGAAATTTCCGGTGCTAAAGGAGATAGTTGCAATGGCAATAAAAAATAGAAAAAGAAAACCTCATGGATTTCGATGGACATCCAAGTACAAAATTGCTTGTTTAGCCATTTATAAGCGCTCACCCAAAATCTACAGGTATTTACAGCACCTGCTGCCTTTACCCACTGCAAAAACACTACAAAATATTTTGAAAAAAATTCCCATGGAACCTGGTATTAATTAGCAAGTTTTGGAACACTTGCACAAAATATCAAAAAAAAAAACAAAAATTAGACAAATGTTGCTGCTTGCTGTTTGACGAAATAGCATTGAAACCAAAATTGAATTTAATGCGGCGACTGACCAAGTTGAAGGTTACACAGACCTAGGCAATTCTGAGCGTTCCAGTTCTTTGAAACAAGTTCAGTTTTCTAAAACACAATATCATCAAACAAATTGGCCACCTTAATTCAAAATAATATTTCAGCAATAAATGAAACAGGATTTCATGTTATGGCCACTGTTTGTGATCAGGGCCCGACAAATATGGGAGCGTTGAAAATACTGAAAAATTTGTCCCACACACAAGAAAGTGGAACATCACAAAACTATTTTTATGTAGGGGTTAACAAAGTTTACATTATTTTTGATGTTCCACATCTATTTAAATCGTTAAGAAACAATTTCATGAACTATGGAAAACTTCAGATGAACGGAAAACAAGCTCTTTGGGAGCATTTCATAAAGGTCCAGGAATTAAACAAAAAAATGCTTTATCTCAGTAAAATAACTGAAACTCATGTGCAACCAAAATACAGAGCTAAAATGAAAGTAAAATATGCTTCTCAATTAGATTTTGTTAAGAGAAAATGTTTCAGCTAAGACAGATCACATAAAAGAGTGGGCTCAATTTAGAAAGACATTGCAAAGTCTCAGATTTGAAAAAGTAGGAACTGGAGCACAAGCCACAAACATAAACAATCACATCACATCACATCATAAACAAACAAATCTTATTATAAAAAACTAAATAAACCTTAGTTTAAACCTGTACTATCAAGTCCAGGCTTATCTGTAGAACCATGGTCTAAATTTGTTCGCATTACAAAACTTAAAAAAACCGTGGTCGTCTTAGTACCGTCATTTGAACCATTGTATAAATGTCAACCACAGATTAATACAAATATCATTCGTTCACTATGATATCATTCTATTGCAACGTTCCGTATGCTCAAAAAAGAAAATGTTTTGATAATACGCTAATGATTAGATGATGTTTAGGAGTGTTAAAAATTTTGAAACCTGGTTATTTTGCATGGATATAAACATTATTTAGTTATTTCGTCGATTGCAGTTTTGTTTAGGTTTAAGCACATTATTTAATGTCGTATTAATTTCTAAAAATACATCCAAGTACGTGTATAGAAACGTAACATTCTCGCGCGTAATATGAAACCATAACATTAAACAAAACCATCGCAAGTTGAACAAAGTTCATTTAGCTTTGGAATTTAAATCTTAATAGAACAAAACATTTGCCTCTTTGTATTCTTCTTAATTTTAATGATTTCACGTGATGGTAAATGGTAATTTTTATATAATTCGTCTATATGTAATTAAAATACTTTTAGGTACCTCAATGGTAAATGTTGGAATTAGTATCCCTAGAAAAAAAGACAATATTCGTAGGAAGCAGTCGGGTAAAAAGGGTCCTCAAAGCATGTAAGAAAGATTAGACTAGAATATATTCTTATTATTTGCTTGGCCCGGGTTGGGCCAAGTTTAGTTATTGAGAGAAGAAGGCAGCAAATGCGCCAAAGGAGCAACGGGTGGCAACGCCAAAGCAGAAAGCGCCAAAGCTGCGCGCCCCACGATCGGCAGCCATAGTGCTGAAGATCTTGCCAGGCGCTGCGGAGAAGATGTCCTACACAGAGGTGTTTGCCCAGATTAAGAAGGAAGTCAACCTTGCGGACTTAAACATCACCGACGTCCGCTTTAAGGTGGCAGCTACAGGGGCAAGAATGCTGGAGTTGCCCGGAGCCAACAACTCTGATAAAGCGGACTCCCTTGCGCAAAGGATACGAGGGGTCCTTGGAGACGGCTGTGTCCAGGTGACCAGGCCCGCAAAGTGTGCGGAGATCCGTGTCGTTGGTCTGGACGATTCGGTGACGCCGCAGGAACTCGCCCTCACTGTCGGGAAAGTGGGTGGTTGCGCGACAGAGTCAGTGAAGGTAGGAGAAATCCGCCGGGATCGTGCTGGCCTTGGAACGGCGTGGGTGCACTGCCCAGTCGCGGCTGCGAAAAAGGTCGTAGACGGCGGGCGCATTCTGGTGGGCTTCGTGTCGGCGAGGGTACATCTCCTGGAGCCTAGAGCCCAAAGATGCTTCCGCTGCCAGGAGGGAGGCCATGTTGCCGCAAAATGCTCGGGCAAGACGGACCGTAGCAGCCTGTGTTTCCGTTGTGGACAGACGGGGCACAAGCGCAGCGAGTGCACTGCCACACCCCATTGCGCAGTATGCGAGGCTGCGAAGAGGAGCGCAGACCACTCTGTGGGGAGTGCTGCGTGTGTCCGGGCTCAGAAAAAGGGGCCAAAACAACGGAAGGAGACATCTGGGCCCAAAGGGCAAGAGAGATCAGCCCAAAATAAGGACGGGTCGGTGGAGAACATGGAAACACAACAATAATGGACCTAAAGTTTCTCCAAGGGAATTTAAACCACTGTGCCAGAGCGCAGGACTTGTTCCTCCAAAGCCTGGTGCAGTGGTCCATACAAGTGGCGGTTGCGGCGGAGCCTTATTCGGTCCCACCGCGCGACAACTGGGCGGGCGACAACGACGGGCTGGTGGCCATCGTCTCCCAGGTCGCCGCGGGTGCTCCGCCCTTTACGCGTATTGTAAAGGGATCGGGGTGCGTCGCGGCACTGCTGGGTGACACGGTGGTCGTGGGAGTCTACTTTTCCCCCAACCGACCCGTCGTGGATTTCGAAGAATTTCTCGATGAGGTGGCGCTCTTTCGCTCGTTTCTGGCCAGGAACGTGGTCATCGCGGGGGACCTTAATGCGAAGTCCAGCATGTGGGGCTCGCCATCAACGAATGCAAGGGGGAGGTTGCTAGAGGAATGGGTAGTTGCCACTAATTTGACTGTCCTTAACCGGGGGACGGCAAACACGTGCGTGCGACGGCAGGGTGGGTCCATCGTGGATATCACATTCGCGAGCCCGGCCTTAGCGCGCCGTGTCCAGGGCTGGCGAGTGCTGGAAGATGTGGAGACTCTCTCGGACCACTTGTACATCCAATTTGAGGTCTCCACACATCCGGCGGTGCCGCCAGGCCCCAGCCGAACCTCGGGAGAGGACGGCCCGAGGTGGCAACTAAAGCGGCTCGATAGAGAGCTGCTGAAGGAGGCGGCAATAGTGGCCTCATGGCTGCCCCGAACAAACGGGACCATCGCAGACTCTGCGGAAGAGTTGCGGGAATTGCTGAGACGAGTATGTGACCGGTCTATGCCCCGCTCAAAGTGCTGCCCGTCTAGGCGCCAGGTATATTGGTGGTCGGCGGCGATTGCGCAACTGCGCGAGGAGTGTGTGGTCGCCAGACGCCAGTATACGCGCTGTCGGAGGCGGCGCTTCAGGAGTCACGATGTCGTTGATAGGGAGAGGCATCAGGCAGAGGAAGATAGGTTGTACTCTACGTACACGGCGAAGAAGACCAGCCTCCAGATGGCCATTAGCGAGTCGCAGACCACGGCCAGGGAACGAATGCTGGATGAGTTGGAACGCGATCCCTGGGGGACGCCTTATAGGATGGTGAGAAACCAGCTCCGTCCTTGGGCTCCCCCACTTACGCAGTCTCTCCAGCCCGGTGTGGTCCGGGAAGTGGTCGCGACTCTGTTCCCTCACGGTGCGCAGGCAGACCATCAGTCGCCACCTATGTCCTCGCCGAGAGCGAGTGAAGACAACAATGAGGTGCCGCAAGTGGACGAGGAGGAGTTGTCTAGCGCTGTGGCTCGTCTTCGAGCGAAGAAAGTTGCTCCCGGTCCTGACGGGGTTCCTGGGAGGGTGTTGGTTTTGGCCATGGAGTCACTAGAACAAAGAGTTCGAGGACTATTTTCTGCCTGTCTGGCTCAAGCCATAATTCCACAGCGGTGGAAGACAGGCAGACTAGTCCTCCTCAAAAAGGCGGGGCGACCAGCGGAATCTCCGTCCGCGTATCGTCCCATCGTCCTTCTAGACGAAGTGGTCAAACTCTTTGAGCGAGTAGTGGCTGGACGCTTGGTGGCGCACCTGGAGCAGGTTGGACCCGACCTCTCCGATGTCCAGTTTGGCTTTCGCGGTGGTCGATCCACCGTGGATGCCATTCTGCGCGTCCGGTCCCAGGCGCAGGAAGCAGTCTCCCAGGGTGACGTTGTTATTGCGGTATCGCTTGATATTGCAAACGCGTTTAACACGTTGCCCTGGAGTTGCATAAGGGAGGCACTCCGCTATCATGGGGTGCCGACCTACCTCCGTCGCGTCATAGGGGCCTACCTATCGGAGAGGTGGGTGACGTTCCCAGGACAGGGAGGATGGGAAAGTCGGGAGGTTGTGTGTGGTGTTCCACAGGGGTCGGTGCTTGGACCACTCCTATGGAACATCGGATACGACTGGGCACTGAGGGGTGCCAGTCTGAGGGGAGTCGCAGTCACATGTTATGCCGATGACACTTTGGTGACAGCGCGTCATTCGACGTATAGAGATGCTGCCATTTTGGCAACTGCGGGGGTCGCACATGTTGTGGGGCGAATTCGGCGGCTGGGTTTAGGTGTGGCCCTAGAAAAATCAGAGGCTGTGTGCTTTCATGGTCCCCGGAGGGCGCCGCCGTCGGATGCTCATATTGTCGTGGGAGGAGTCCGCATCGGGGTAAAGAGGACCATGAAATATTTGGGACTGGTGCTCGACAGCCGGTGGACCTTCCGGGCGCACTTTGAGGCCCTGGTGCCGCGGTTGTTGAAGGAGACGGCTGCTTTATGTAGACTTTTGCCGAACGTAGGTGGACCTAGTGTCACGATAAGGAGGCTCTACACAGGTGTTGTGAGGTCGATGGCGATCTACGGTGCCCCAGTGTGGGCGGATGCCCTTTCTCGCGAAAATGTCGCTCGGCTGCGGAGGGTGCAGAGAGTGATGGCGATTAGAGCCATCAGGGGGTACCGTACGATCTCGGGGGAGGCGGCGTGCATGCTGGCCGGCCTTTTGCCTTGGGACCTGGATGCGCGTTCCTTGGCGTCGATTTATTGTCGGCGCCGAGGTCTAGCGTCCGGGGACCCCAGCACAGCGCCAATTGAAGATGAAGATGAGCGGGTTGCCGCGTTACAAGAGTGGGAGTCCAGGCTGGAGCGCCCTTGCGCTGGCCGATGGACCGTCGAGGCAGTTCGCCCCGTTCTCGCGCAGTGGTTGGGCAGGCGGCATGGCATCTTAACCTTCCGCGCCACGCAGATCCTCTCGAGGCACGGTTGCTTCGGGGGGTACCTGTGTCGGGTCGCTGGGAGGGAGCCCTCTCCTCGATGCCACCACTGCGACGACTGCCCGGACGAGTCGGCCCAGCATACGCTGGAGGAGTGCCCAGCATGGACCGAGGAGCGCGAGGCGCTCCAGAGTGTTGTTGGGGCGGACCTGACGTTGCCGGCTGTGATCTCAGCCATGGCCGGTAGCGAAAGGTCCTGGGATGCCGTCCTGTCCTTCTGCGAGGTGGTGATGTCGCAGAAGGAGGCGGCGGAGAGGGCGAGAGAGGCCAACGCCGAGCTCGCCTTCCGCCGCAGAAGGACCGGGCGTCGGAGAGCGGCGCACGATCGCCGCCTCCCCCCTTAACACCAGCCAGAGGGCGGTCGGCTTGGGGAAGTCGGCCGCCCACTAATCTGGCCCGAGTAGGCGTGCGCGGAGACGTCCGCGCGCCTCTCGAAGAGGCCATCGGGGGTTAGCCCCCTGATACGGGATGGGCCGTAAGAGGCTCTCGCCGCTGGGGTTTACAGAGGAATTCGGATACCTGTGACCCCAGCTTTGTGGCGACAAGGTGGCCTTTCGTCAGGTTTTTAGTGGGTAGGCTGCCGCGCGTTTTCCATCTTTGCGCGGCAGGAGCCCCACATAACCCGTTCCGCCTATCCCCAGGCGGACGGGTACCCGGGAACAGGGTTTTCCTGACGTTAAAAAAAAAAGTTTAGTTATTGAGTCTTTCTGTATAGTAAGCCTCAGTAACAGCCCGAAGTTGGGAGGTTGGCGGTGTTTCACCCCCGTGCCTCGGAGAGCACGTAAAGCCGTCGGTCCTGCGCCTTAACTCTCTCCGGTTGTGTCGAGTGGTCGTCCCACCGGAGTATGAGAGTGATAGGAATAGAGAGTGCACATTGTGTCTGCGCGCACACTTGAGCACTATAATATCTCCTGCGTAGTTGGCTAGTCTCAATGAGATTGGCCGCCGTAGCCGGAATCGGCTAGGAGAACATCATCATCATCATTTGCTTAGTATAAAATATAAAGAGTAAATATTTCACAGAAAAGAAGCATTACAAGAGACAATATTAAAGTCCAACTGTCAATTTTAAAAAAACAATTAGATATGCTAGAAGTGGAGCACCAGTACAATGTAAGAATTGCTGAATTAAAATTAAAAAAAACTGGAACTTGAAATAAAATTATTAGAAAAAAAAGGAAAAACTCTAGTACTACTTATGGTTGAAAGAAATGTTATAATAATTAGAATTATGTAAGGTTTAAATTTAAAATATATTATTTTAATTAAAAGTGTATTTCAATGAATTGCCGTCTTCTTATATTTCCACGTACATTGTTTTCCACTGGTAAAGCTACTGCTGCAGATGTTTGTGTGTTAGCTTTATTGGCATCAAACCCACTATGAAACACATCTTCCTTCATATCTATGGCAATATTGTGCAATACAGCACAAGCTACAATTGTTGTTTTAGCAGTTTCAATGTTGCAGTAAAGGCCTCTTAATAAACAGCGGAACCTCTGCTTCCACAACCCAAAACATCTTTCCACTGTGTTTCTGGTGCTAATGTGTGCATTATTGTACCGCTGCTCTTGAGGTGTTGTAGTACGCAGTAATGGAGTAAACAAATATGGTGTGCAAGCATAGCCACTGTCTCCTAGCAATATGCCTGAGAATGCACCAGCCTCAAATCGCTGCTTCAAACGACTCTCTCTAAATATTCGTGAGTCATGAACACTCCCACGCCACCTAGTAACAATGTCCATGATTTTTAAATCTGCATCGCAAACTACCTGGAACAATAGTTACATATTTTAGTATTTCTTACTTACATAAGCATGACTAAGTATTCACTATCAGTACATATTATAGAACAAAGTCACTGGCCACTTATGTCTTTTTGTCTGCTCACTCCTTCAAAACCACTACATTTTAAAAAGGTTTTTTTTGGTATGCACAAAACATCCTAATTATACTTTTCCACTGCATCCATATTCCATGTTAAGCCAAAGCAGGTTGATATTATTTATTGTATAGTAATCACATTACACATGGACACTGTGAGTGAAGCCTTGGGTAGGTTAAACAATTTTCCAACACTATAACCAAAGCCTCATCGGGGATGGGGCTGTGGACTAAAGTCGTTGTTCCTTTATTTTGGAAGAAAAATATGTATGTAAAATCAATAATACCTGAACATTAATTGATGCAAATCCTTTTCGGTTAATATATAGTTGACCACCATCTTCACTTGGCTTTTTTATTTTGATGTGAGTACAGTCAATTGCACCAATAACTGTAGGAAAATTTGCAATTCTGCGAAATTTTTGCATTGGTTCCTCTTGTTCTCTCAATGTAGCAGGCATTTTTATAAATGTGTGTGATTTTCGGGCAATGGTTTCTGCAATATTTTTACATATCTTGCTTATGAAAGGTTGTGAGACTCCGTGCAAATCAGCTGTGTCATCTTGGATCTATTAAAACAAAGAAAATATATAATTTTATATATTTTATAACTTAACTAATTAATTTACCTGTTTTATTATTTATAATTTATATTACTTGATGTGTACTGCATAGTGTGTTAACCTGTTATTAAAATAATATTTACCAGACATAGATTAGACTCTTAGGTTATAAGTATGCTGTAGTGTAAATAAATGTATCTTTTGTTGGCTGTCCGTAAATAAATAAACAAAAACAAAATATTAGTTTGTACATAATTTAGTTTTTATTGCTACCAATGTTTTGGTAAATGCAATCTATGCTTTTAATCTACTTACTTCATGTCGAGCCCAGCTTCGTAATGCGCAACACACTTGTATTTCGGGAGACACAGGGCATCCTCGACCATCTCTAGTTAAATCTTCTTTTACTAAGTCCACTATTTTCATTGCATAACGTTTAAACCTATACTTTTGCCTGAAACCTTCATCGGATAATTCCATGATGGGATTGACTCGAACACGACTTCTGTTGTGTCGGCGTGGTAATTCCAACATCTCAGCGGCTTCAATATCCTCAATATCAATTAAATCGACCATGTTTACATTTTCGAGTTAAAACAACACAACACAATGAAAAAGATGATATAACATAAAACACAAACTTTGACAAATCCGATTTAGTGATTTAGACCATCGTTAAACTAGGGGTCGCCGAGGTTTAGCGTTAGACCATGATATAGTCTATGGTTTATCGCAAAACCACGATTTGTAATACCAAATTTGTTTAGACCGCAGTATAAAGAAGTTTAAACCAGGTTTTTTAGTTAAACCGCATTTTGTAATAAGACAGAAAATGTGTTCAAGGATACATCACGACCATGTGTTCCTTAAGAGATTTATGGTGTGATGTGCAAAAGCTAGGGTTAAAATATTTAAACCTAAGACAGGTGAATCAAGGTGCCCTCGAAAACCTATTTGGTGTTATGCGCCAGCATAGCCCAACAAATAACCATCCCACAACATCGAATTTTATTAGTGCCTTAAAATCTGCAGTAATTTCCCGACTTACAGCACCTGTGTAGAGGGTCAAACTGTCAAAATGATTCTAATAATCTGTTGACAGATTTTCACAATTTAATTTTTGATAGAGAAACTGAGAATAAAAAACAACCAAGTGTATCTTCAACAAGTGAAGTTGAAAGTATGAATGAAGACAAAGAAAACCAAAATTTAAAAGAGGCTATGATTTTCTTACATTTACCAGATTTGTTGGATGATGAAATCGAGACATAACTGTTGGATTTTAAAAATCAACCTATTGTCTACATAAGTGGATTTATTGCATCAAATATTCTTAAGAGGCACAAATGTCGTACTTGCCAAAATATGTTAAGCATGGCAAATCCTGACCTTAATAATCCAATATATAACTATATTAAGTTAAGAGAATGGTGGAAGGATAAGAATTCTTTAACTTATCCCACCTTAGGTCTTTGCAGGGTCATTGAGAAATGTGTAAACATTTTTGAAAATGAGGTGCTACCTGTTCTCTATAAAACTAATATATCTAATTTTATATATCTTGTTTATGAAAAATAGTGACACCTCATTTTTGAAATGTAGTGAACATTTCGTTGAAGTCACCAACTTAATTTATAGTCGTCTGGCTATGTTACTTGTACGGAGGCAGTGTCAAAGGGTCAATGAAACATTGTTAACACAAGCTGAAGAAATTGCTCACAACACCAAAAAAGCCCAACAACTATGTTTTGATACTTAATAGGTGTTTTACTAGGTGTTGATTTTTATAAGGGCTCAGGTTTCTGCATCTTAGGTTTTATCATCAAGGTTTTGACATTCTTTGGTCATTGGAAATTTCATTACCAAGCATGTTAATAAACATCAACAACAACAAAATTATATTTTTATACCTTTTGCTGTAGAAACTCTTGGGCCTTGGAGTCAAAGTGCTAAGAACTTTTTATAAGACATAACACCTCGTCTTATCGCCTCTACTGGTGACAGGAGAGCTGACTCATTATTCGCCCAAAGAATCGGCATTGCCATTCAGCGCAATGCGGCCAGCATTCTTGCCACTTTTCTACGCGGACACGACTTGTACAGTAATAATTAAGTGTATATTTGCTTTGTACATATAGTTAAGTTTACTTGTAATTTACTTTATTGTAAATAAATGTTGAAAATAAACATCTTGATAACTCACATAATATTATAAATATAAGATATGTAGGTATATTGACCGCTTTGGATGCTTATAGCAAAATGTGTATTCTGACTCCATTTAACCTGCATAAATGTATAATGTTGTAATAAATTATAAATTGTAGCTTTTTTAAGATTTGTCATTTGTTTTTCGAAATAAAATAAATAATACTATTGGAAATTGGTTATGTTGTTTGTTTTTAGAACTCTAAAATTTTTAAACAAGTAAAAATAATATGCTAACTAATAATAGGCTACGTATAGTCGATATTTATTTATCGACATTAAACAGCACTAATATCGACTTTTTCTTCACTATATGTCAAACTATTACAGCATATAGCCAACATAAAAATAAATAAATGTATTTTCTTAAGGTTGGCGCAACATATACAGACTTCCATAAAAATTGAAAATAAAAAAAAATGTTCTAAGTTCCGTCTCTAACTCCTTTACATTCTCCTTGGCAATGAGTACTGAACGAACGACGCCCCGCGCCCGGCGCGAGAGTGATGGAAACGAAGATTGTATACGTGACGTGTGTAAGAGAGAGAGGCGAGGGCAATGTACTCAGTCGGGCCGACAAAATGAACACGTTACGACTTGAAACGTTTTTGTTGTATACCCACGCTGTAGAAATATTTATCAATGCAACATTGTTATACATAATAATAAACACATTGAAAGCAAATATTCGTTTCTTTATCTACTAGCAGTTTTTTTTATGTAGAAAGAAAGATTTAGAAAAAATAAGCTATACTTACAGCCTTTGACCACTTTTTTATTCGTCTAAAGTGTAATACTTATAGCTTAAATTTCCAAAATCTTTACTAATTTCATTTTGATACATAAAGTTAATTGTTAATTTTAATTGTTTCATAAAACAACTAAAAAAGTTAATTGCAATTATTTTAATTTTGAGTTACAATTGAAACACGTTAATCAAATTAATTTAATTGCAAGGTGCAATTAAAAGTTCAATTGCGATTAATTTAATTGTAATTAATTTAATTGCAATTACTTTTTTAATCAATTAACAAGATAATTGACAAATTAATTGATTAATGCCCAACACTGCTAACAAGTCGCCAACAATGGCAAATAGTAAAGCGGAAATGCAAAAGTGGATTACCAATAAGGGACTTGCATATTTGCCAAACATGCTTAAATGTAAACTTTATGAAATTATTAAAGAACACAAAGAAGAACCTATTTATGAAGTGGATTCCTATTTAACATTACATGGCCACAAAAAGTTTAAATTAATCTTAAAGTAAAATCATCACACATTATAATAACATTATATAAAATTAGAAATAATACCCCTTTCTATCAGATTTCTGATATGTTTGAGGTGTCATTAACAAGGAAGTGACTAACGAGACACAAAAACGCGAAGAAACGCGAAACGCGACACTCGAAAAACTCGAAAAACGCGACACTCGACGACACGCGAAACTCGAAAATCTGATGGAAATATGCGACGTTGCCGTATTTCTTATGCCACTCGAAGACACTCGATTACTAACCTACAGAAAATAATCAGAAGTTTCTTAACTCAAGTTAACACTAAACTTTGAGTGTTAACACTCAACTTTGAGTGATAGCACGACTACTCAGTGAAGTTGTTTTTAAAATAATGTTTATAAAATAAATTACAAATCAGTGAAATAAATTATAAGTACTTTAATTAAAATTTACTAAAACTGTTATTTGCAAGATATAATTTATTTTTGTTAAAATTATAATTGCATAAAAATTTTGTTTGAAAAACCTGAACGAAAACCATATCCAAAAATGAAAATATTAAGGAACACTGAACTTTGAGTGTTATACTCGACTGGAGTAAGGAAGCCACATTCTTTCATTGTTTATTTACAATTAAATGACAACTAAATTAAAATTACAATATTGTTATATTACAATATTCTTTCATAGAGTGTACATACACGTTACATCTCTAACTTTTAGAACAGCTACTACAAAACCAAGCAGTTGTTGGTTCTTTCTTAACGTTAACGCAGGGCCAATCGAACCAAAGAAGACATCGCTTACATGTAATCATTGTTTTTGTTAATCGTCGAGGTTTTTGACACGTACCACACTTGATTGTAATTCTTTTCCTTTTCTTTTCGACGATGTCATTCAAGCGTTTGTATGCCGTTGGTTCACAAAATTTTTCCAATGCTTGAATGACATCGTCGTCTGTATTCTTAATCGCATCCGTGACAGTTTTATCATCTACATTAAAACTCGCAGATTCTATTTTACGTTTTTTTGTCACAACATTTAGGATTAAATCATCTGGTATGAACCACGAAAGCATTTCGGATGCTTTTTCTTCATCGCTCAAATCCTCAAAAGCTATCAATTTTCGTTTGCTACTTCGCAACTCACACGAAAGCTTTTTAGCATTTTTTGGCACTGTCACCTCTTGTCTCGGTGTTCCAATAGCTGTTGGTTTTTTGGCCGTCGGTCGTCCCCTCGTCGTGATTTTTGTCGGTAAAGTTACGTCATCGTCGTTGGCAGAAAAATGAGACACAATTCCTGATTTAGTGATAATAGACACTTTGTTGCATGATTGTTGGCCTATTTTAGAGATATTATCAGATTCAGGTTCGAGATCAGATTCACTATCTAGATCAGAGTCAGGATCAAGTTCACAATCGAGATCAGAGTCAAAATCAGAAGGAGGTTCAGATGAAGTTTCAGCGGCAGGTTCAGTGCGAGGTTCAGATGAAGTTTTAGCGGCAGGTTCAGTGCGAGGTTCAGATGAAGTTTTAGCGGCAGGTTCAGTGCGAGGTTTAGATGAAGTTTCAGCGGCAGGTTCAGTACGAGGTTCAGATGAAGTTCCAGCGGCAGGTTCAGGGCGAGGTTCAGATGAAGTTTTAGCGGCAGGTTCAGTACGAGGTTCAGATGAAGTTCCAGCGGCAGGTTCAGGGCGAGGTTCAGATGAAGTTTCAGCGGCAGGTTCAGTACGAGCTTCAATGGCAGGTTCAGAATCAGCATCTTCTAGTGGAAACCATGGATTGATTTCCACTTCAAGATCAACCTCCCAATAGTTGATGAGGGCTGTCAGTGCCTCCATGCGAGGATCAAAGGTTTTGCTCTTCAAAAGACACGCTTTCAATTTCTGCAAAGATTGGTTTGCCAGCAGTTCTATAACAAAATAAAAATAATAAATAACAATACTCGAAACCTTTTTTGTTTCATTGATTATTCAAATATCATACCTTCTTGTGGCGTAATAATCTCTAAAGCAGATTCACTAGAGTCTTCATTCGATCCGCTAGTTGAAAGCTCCTTCTCACTAACTACAATGATCTCTTGTGATAGTGTTGTTGTTGAAGCACTAGCAATTGTTATGGGTGCAGGGGTGACGTTCTGAGTTACAATCGTAGGAGAACTGTGATCGTGTATGGGGTGGCAACTGTGAAGGACGTAAGCGTCTTTTTGCTTGGTTGCTTTGTATTTAGCATGCATTTCGCAACCAGTTTTTTGGATCCTAAAAAAATATAATTATGATCAATTTGTTATCAGATATGTACATGTATTTATTATTATTATGTATTCGACTCAACGGGTATTCACCCTTTCTAAAAATGTTATAAAAATATAAAAAAAAAAATATAAAATTTGTATTGATAACTTATTCTTACCTCGCATTTTTTTCAGCTGTTTTACCACGCATTGGACAGTGATATTGGTATTCATAATAATCTAGTTGACATCCCTCAGGTCTTTTGACATTTGAAACCTCAAAAGACCTAGATCTGCCAGTGGAAAGCTCGATACCAGTTTTTTCTTTATGAAGCGCCAAACGTTTTTTTATTTCATCGTAGTTTTTCACCTCTTGACCGAGTTGAAAAATATCGGATACATCTAATCTCGGATCCATCTGATCTATCTGATCCATCGGATCGATCTAAAAAATTAAAAATATATTTAATAACCAAAGTATACATTAAAATGTTTTAAAATCAAGATTAGAAATTTTTTTTGAGTTACTTGAGTTAACTAACTCAAAGTTGACTAACTCAACTAACTTGACTAACTTGAGTTAGTTGAGTTAGTATCGGAGCATAGATAAAGGCCAACAAATAAACAAACAACTTCAATCGGACTTTGAAAAAGATGTTGATAAAAATAGTAAATATTTGATCAAAATGTCTGAACAAAACTACTACGGCGACGGAGCACGGGGCATCAGCTAGTTTTTTAGATTTTTATTGTATATTTTCAACTTACCTTTATTCAATGTTGATTGACTGTTAGACTTCTACTCTGTCCGATGGACGCCGCAAGTGAACTAACCAACGGACGTTTGTTCAACGTACAAACGATGTTTCTTCACCTCTTTGTTCATTCCAAAAAAGCCAATCACAGAAACATATTTTTGAACGAACCAATCAGAGTCCTTCGGAAAGTTTTTTTCCCTTTCCATTTTTCAGATACGAATACAAACGTTCCGATATTCGTTAAAACGATTAGACACAATACACAAGACACAATACAGTCATAAAACAATAAACCCATTAGTACAAAGGCGTTCCAAACTCAAAAAATGAGTCACAGGCTCGAAGTAATAGTACCTCGTGCCTGAGTTGAGGGGATAAAATCGTAAAAATTGATAATATTTTTCTGATAGTTGAAACATGCTGGGTTTTTTGAATTCCAGATTTAACCAGTCGACGTTTTAATTCTCATTTTCAATTTTCCAATATTATTCGGCAATCTGGGGTCACTCAAAATCGTGACACCCAACAGTTGAGTGTTATTCTATTTAAAAATCGGATTTTTGTCCAAGAGCGTTTGTTTTCTTGACTAGTAATAATTAACAAGAAATCGTGAACGGTGTTATATCATCACTCTTCTTCCAATCAATTTCAAACCATTAGAGTCCGAAATTTGTTTCCATTTTTCAGATAAGATTGAAAACATTCAAACAAGTAATAAATTAATTTCCGAAGACAAATTCCGAAATTTGCTTCCATTGTTAAGATAACATTGAAAACATTCAAAAGCGCCTTCAAACGATTAGACACGGTCAAAATGTATCGAGTCGAACGACAGTCATAAAACAATAAACCCATTAGTACAAAGACGTACAAAGACCAGAAAAATGAGTCATAGGGTCGAGACATATTTAGCCTACGAAGCCTACGGGCCTTGGATAAGTGGACGGAAAATAACATTAAACATAAAATAACAACTTGTTCTCATTCTTTTATAATAAAAATGTTGAATGATGATTGTAAACAACTTCTCTCATTTTCTGTCCGAATGACCAAAAAACGTCACCGGTTACTCTGCTAATCAGAAGCCAAGATTTAATGTGTTCGTACCATGACGCAATAACAAGTTTTTGTTTTGTTATTTTTGACAATTTTTCATTTCACGAAATATACTCAATTAATTCTCCATTTGTTTCCTTAAAAAATCAGTGCAAAGAATAAAATAGGTTTTCATTTGTTTATTAAAAAATTGAGTTGATGATTTAAGTAAGCGCTAAGTAAGCGCTCTCTCTGTCTCGCAAGCCGGGCGCAAAAGCGGTAGGAAGAAATTTCCTCCAATTATAAGTCGTGTTTGGCAGGTGACTTTGTGGAAGGGCAAATCAGGGCAGTATCCTTAGGTACTAAAAGCTTTCAGACCACACTTGATTTCGGAACACGATGAGCGCTTTATTCGTTTTAGTGAAGTTTCGTTGATTTTCTTTCAAAATGTCGGTTTTGAGTAAAGGAATGAAATTTGACTGTGATCGTAAATTTTTAACGTTCTTCAAAAAATACCAAAGGGATAAAAGACAGCTTTTCACTAAGAGAAGTTCAATTTCGAGCCAGGACAAACAAGTCGCGCACAGAAATATTAATCGAAAAAAGTTTAAGTATTACACTGTCCTGTATTGCTGTAAGTACGGTGGACATGAATATGAATCACAATCAAATGGAGAACGGAAACGAGGGTAAGTTTTATTTCGAGTTTTGAAATTCACAATAATTTTGAACATATTGAAATTGAAATTCCCTATCAAATTACAGGACCAGAAAGATGGGATGCAAAGCAAAAGTTAGGGCTACTGTCGATAAAACGGGCCGACATCTCGTTATTAGGAAGGCGGACCTGATCCATACAGGACACGATGACCTCGAGGTAATTTCCAATGTTATATATTGGATATATTATGACTATACTTCAATCTTTGGTGTCTAAGAGTCACTCGAGATGAAGGCACTGAATACTTGAGTGTTCCATTTAAAAGTTGTTTTCTGAGAGCGTTTGTTTATTGAGTATCAATTTACAAATATAAATCATGAAATCAAGAACTCGATAATTTTTTCGAGTTTTTTTAAAGTTAAATTTTGAGATCAAAAGTTTTCAGAATTTAAACTGTAACTAGCTCACTTCTAAAATTCAGTTTCGAACAGGCGACGTTATAAATATTTACACTCACAAATTTCTAAAATCATAACTTCAGATTCAGAATCATTACTTCATAACAGAATCATAACACAGATTTTTACGTACAACAATTCTTACATTTTTTCATCAAACAATGCCTTAACACTAGAAATTCTGTGACTTTTCATTATTTTGGTATAGAAACATGTACCTAGAAGGAATTTTTAAAACTGCAAAAATATTTTATGTTTAACTTTGGAAGCCGGACGCGACATTTTTGTCCCCTTTGTAGCGAAAAAAATATTAATAAATTTTGTTCAAATAACAAAAAAAGAACTAAATTTGAAAGTATCGCCATTGGCTAAATTTCAATAATCAATCCCAGAATGAAATACAAATATTTCGGACATTGCAAAATCTATGGCAGAGTTTCCAGAAATAAAACACTGAACTTTGAGTGTAATACTTGATGGAGCATGAAAGCAATTTGTTTTTCATTTTTTATTTACCTGATCGGTAACAAATTTAAAAATTATAAATGTATTAAGTTGTATAAATGAGTAAAGTAATTCAATTATAATTGCATACAAACTTTGTTTAAAAAACTAAATGAAAACCATTTACACAAATTAAAATCTTAGGAAACACTGAACTTTGAGTGTTTTACTCGAATGGAGCATGGAAGCAATATTTTTTCATTGTTTACTTACCTGGTTGTTAACAAATTTGAAATTATAAATGTATGAAGTTGTATAAATGTGTTAAGTAATTTAATTTTAATTGCATACAAATTTTGTTTAAAAAACTAACTGAAAACTATTTACACAAATTAAAATCTTCGAAAACACTGAACTTTGAGTGTTATACTCGAATGGAACATGGAACCAACATTTTTTCATTGTTTATTTATTTTGGCAACTACATTAAATTTACCTGAAATTGTTATGTGCAAGACACAATTCGAAAAGCTATATTGGATAGTGTATCGTCGTTGGCACATTTTCAATAATCAAATTCAAAATGAAATAAAATTATTTGATTTTAAATTTTTCTATTTGCAGGAATACTTTGATACGCTCCCAGAGAACAAAAGACTTTCGGACCAAACTACTCAATATGTTCTCGACACAATGAAATTCGATCCAAAAAAGGCCAAATTGTTCGATTATTTGGAAACAAAAAAAACGTACAATGGGATTCAAAAGATCTTGCAAACTTGAAGCGTCGCCATGAACCAACTAAAAATGGGAACGATTACGTGGAGTTTACAAAAATACTTAAAAATGAAGGTAACTGTCAATAGAAGTTGAAAACAGAGAAATTTAAATATTAATCATTAACTAATCGAATTTTTGTTGTTATAGGTGCATCATATCAAACTCTGATCGATGAAAAGCGCGAATTAGTAGCCATTTTTTTTGTACGCCAGAGATGCGGAAAGCAATGAGCAAGTGGTCTGATATCGTGTTCTGGGACAGCACGTACAGGCTCCTAAACAACAATTTTGTGTTATCCTTATTCCACGTAGAAGACTCGAATGGCTTCACTAGAACCGTCGGAGTAGGCCTGCTAGCCAACGAAGAGGCGGAAACTTTCAAATGGCTTCTAACATGTTTTCGTGAAGCCAACCCTGAAGCTTGTCTGAAAATTAGGTCCATTATGACCGACAAGGATCCTTCTGAGAGAGCAGCCTTGAGGGAAATTTTTCCAGAAGTTAACCTCCTGATTTGCAGTTTTCACGTCCAACAAATTTTCCATCGACAAATAACTGTTGGAAAAAGGGGGGTAACGAGCGAGGAAAAAGATGACCTCCTTTTAATTTTGCGAAAACTAGTGTACAGCGAATCGGAGGAAGATTACGATGAAACGTACACTGAATTTTGTGAAGTTGCTCCAGAAGAAGTGATCGATTATTATAACACCAACTGGCATTCGATAAAAGACGAGTGGGTCCTGTATCGTATGAATGCTCACGGAAATTTGAATAATAATACAAATAATAGAGCAGAATCGACACATGCCAAGGGTAAACAAATAGTTCCACTACACAGCAGTCTGGTAGAGTTCGGCAAAAACATTTTTGTTTTCTTTCGGGCACAAGCGCGTCAAATCAAGATCAAAAGCGGAAAACTGATGACTACAAAATCAGCAGAAGCTTTTACAACCGCAGATGAAAAAAACTATTGTGAGTTGTTAACTCCAAAAGCCTTTGCCGAATTGCAACCAGAACTGCTGGAGTACCCTGACGTTCAAATCATGAGTAGCAATGTCGCTCAAAAAGAGTGTTCTTTCGAATTAAACGGAAGGACAATCACGAGTTCTTTAACTAAATGCAAATGTCTGAAAAATCGTTCAATGTTTCTGCCTTGCAAACATGTATTTGCTACTCGTGATTTCTTCGAGCAACCACTTTTTGATAAAACGTTGTGTGCAGAAAGATGGTTGAGAGGGTATAGTGTACAATGCGATACTGAAATTTCCAAACTCACACACTTCCCTAATTGTAGCCAATCCTCAAACGGTAGCGTCACACAAATTAGGCAGTCGAACGAACATGTCACACTGGAAAAACTTGCAAAGAAGTATGACACTTCGTTCAACTTGCTGGCTCACGTAGGCAGCTTGTCTGCGAATCAAAACTTGCAGAACAAGAGTGACTGTTTGCATGATGTGATGGATTTGTGGGCGAAAGGGAAAAATGTGCGACTTTCAAAAATAACAAACAATGAATTGAATGTTATTCAATGTACATTGAAGTTGAAGTCGACAAATGACAAAAGGCGTCATCTTTTTTGTATGAAAAAAACTCCTCGAGAAATTCAGTTGTCAGAGAAAAAAATCAAAATACTAAATCGACTGCTCTCACTGTGGAAGAAGAATGTTCCAGTTATTGCTAAAGAGTCAGATGGCGATTGTAGTTTAAATGATAGTGCGACCTTGAATACTAGCGAGATTAACGTACCGGAACCAACTTTGATCAAAGGACGACCGAGACAAGCGTTCGATACGTACATTAAGTATAAGTAAATTTTAAGTATACGGATATTTGTATAATTTTATCGTTATTTGTATATGTAAATAAAACTTATAATATTGCAAGTTCATGCATTAATTTTTACCTAAAAGTTCAACATAATAAATAGTAGCTAAGTCCTAACAAACAGCCTCACTCAGAAGTCGTGTCAACACTCAAAGTTGAGTGTTAACTTGAGTTGAGAAACTACTGACAATTTTGTGTAGGTTTTAAAAAATGTACTTTAAAAAATGTACAATTATAGTTCAATAAATTTATTAATAAACATTTGTAAATAAATCACAAAACAAACAAGTGCTCGATAACGAATAAATTACAAAAAACAAGTGCTCGAATGAACGGAAGAAAATAAAAAATAAATACATTTTCTTGGTCGTTAATTTTTCGAATGAGAATTTCAACGCATACAGACGTAAAAAGTAAATTCAATAAATAAATTTTCTGTATAAACTTGAATGAACTTATTGAATAAAGTGATAATTTATTTCACTAACTTATAATTTATTTTATAAACTTTATTTCAAAAACAGCCTCACTGAGCAGTCGTGTTAACACTCAAAGTTGAGTGTTAACTTAAGTCGAGAAACTACTGATTATTTTCTGTAGGTTAGTAATCGAGTGTCTTCGAGTGGCATAAGAAATACGGCAACGTCGCATATTTCCATCAGATTTTCGAGTTTCGCGTGTCGTCGAGTGTCGCGTTTTTCGAGTTTTTCGAGTGTCGCGTTTCGCGTTTCTTCGCGTTTTTGTGTCTCGTTAGTCACTTCTTATTTTTTAGGACATTGTATTTATTATCCAAATTCTTTAAACAACTTATTCCTATTCCAAGTAAACGTGATGTAAAAAGAAATTTGCCATCCTCTTTCAAAACAAACAAGGAGTACTCAAATGTGTTTTGCATAATCGATTGTTTTGAAATAGAGATAGAAAAACCATCTAATCCTATAAATCAGTCCCTAACATGGTCACAGTACAAAAATGCTAATACACTTAAGTACCTGATAGCTTCAACTCCCGATGGTTTCATTAACTTTGTATCTGCTGGATATGGTGGTCGTATATCTGATACTAATATAGTAGAAAGCTGTGGTTTCCTAGACATACTCCCACTTAACTGTACTGTATTGGCAGACAGAGGCTTTAAACATATAGATACCATATTAAGCAGGAAACAAATTAAACTTCTTCGGCCACCCAGTGCGTCAAAGGATATGAAACTATCAAAAGTAAAGTCATCGCTAGTCTACGGATATATGTGGAAAGGGTAATAAGAAGAGTGAGGTTATTTAAGTTTTTGAAACCACATTCAGTGATAAATAATAAGTTGATCCAACATACAGATGAAGTGGTTATAGTAGCATGTGGTTTAATAAATTTACACAGTTCTATTGTAAACAATAAATAAAATACTTAAAAATGTAGATTTTTTTATTTTGCACTATCCAAAATAAGTTTAAAAATAAATTGCTACCAAAATTTTTCTGCCGCATCTAACAATTTCATGACATAGTTATTGTCATATTCCACTATATAAGTATTTATGTATTAGTCTTGTCTGTTCAAAACTTGGATCAACAACACAAAACCATCCCTTTGATTTTTTTGCAGCATGCATCTGTAGCATTATTTGAGCTTTATATTTGTCTTGCACTTTGTTGTTTTTTAAATAATTTTTTAAACTCTTTTCATATAATGGACATTTTATTTCAATAACGAAATCCTTACAAATTCCATCTGGAGAAACACCAATAATAGGAGACACCAAAATTAAACCTGTAGTCTCAATAACTCCAAGATCTTTTTCTAATTCTTTCAGTACTTATTTTTCAAGTAGCTAACCTCTTCTTATAGCTAAAGTCTCTGGCACCTTGTATCCACCAAGAATGCTTTGCACTAATAGACCAGGGGGCTTAGCCATGTTACAAACGTTTCCTATCTAATCTCTTTGTATCATTGGTAGCGTATTGTCGATAGCTATTTTAGAAAACGATTTGATGCTAGCCATATCAACAAAACTAGTGTCTACAGTGTCAATCGTTCATTCTACAATGTGGATCTGTTATATCCCTGTACTGTAGGGATTAATAATGAGTAAGTGCTTCATCAGCATCTTTAACTCCATAGATTTATCCCATAGTAAAGTTCAAGTTCAGTTCGGATCTGATCGCGGAACCATTAACACTTGCCGAATTTCTCACATCTAAGTTGTCCTACATTAATTATATTATAAATTAATTAGTGTTAATAAATAAATTCTTTTTTAAAAAGATTTTAATTTTTCCAATGATAACATTTGGTGGCAGCGGTGGGATCCCGAAAACATTCCATAGTGCCTAATAAATAAGGATCCCAATAAAATAAAAACGTGCAAGTGAGTGAGTGAGTGTCTAAATCCAATGTCATAATCCAGTGTCAAGTTCCCGATCCGAACTCAACCCAAGGTCACAGCATTTACCATTCTAAACCGGAAAAATCCCGGTATCCTGAATCACGAAGAGAGTCCATTGTGCAGCAAGCGGTATCTAGCTGTTGAGGCATACACGCCTGACGCAGCTCTGTATCTGGATACAGATACACCGACCTAATCAACGTGACATCCCGACGGCATCCGGACACCGAGTCCAGTTGTTAAACCCAGGTTCCAGTCAAATCAAAGATGAAGTGTGTGAAACTATTCCTGTGAGTCAAACTATTTCATTTTATTGATCCAGTAATTATCGTGAACAATTTCCAGTGAAAAAAAAAAAACCTTTTATATGTGTAGTCATAATTTACATGTTTATAGAAATATTAAGGCATCTTATAATTTAATTTGTTAATATTTATTAAATTGAAACCTAATTGTAATTCAATATAATTCAACGCAGTCATTCTTATCAATTATTTCTCATAACTATTATCGCATCCGTAGCGTATCGATTTCATTTGTATTATAATACCTTAGAATACTATACTACTCCTATTTACAGGTTTCGTCTACTCTTAATTTTATTTTTCATATATATATATATATATATATATATATATATATATATATATATATATATATATATATATATATATATATATATATATATATATTTTACATTTTTTTTTTGTTGTTTTGTTTTTGTTCAAAATGTCGAAATCAGATTCCAAAAAGGAATTGAGAGAGACTCGAGTAGAAGAAGAAGAAATCCCATTAAATACTATATTAAAATTTATAAAACCTTTTACCGGTGACCGCGATAAACTTACTGCCTTTTTAAGGAATTGCGACAGCGCAATCTCCTTGGCATCTCCACGACAAGAAGATTTAATTCTAAAATACATCCTTAGTCAATTAGAGGGTAAAGCTGAAACAGCTTGTTCCATAAAAGACTTCGATTCCTGGGCATCTTTAAAAGAATTTCTTAAAACCCAAATCGGTGAGCGTAAACATTACGCCCACCTTCTCACAGAATTACAAGACTGTAGACAAGGCAATCTAGAAACTGTTAGCCAGTTCTCCCTTAGGGTAGAAACTTGCTTGCAGAAATTATTAACTGAGGTCACGGTTTCTAATTCTAAGAAAATGGAGCTAGCGGGTAGGTTAGCAGCTATGGAGGACCTTGCCCTTCATACTTTCACACTAGGTTTACATCCCCGCATTTCCAACCTAGTAAGGTGTAGAGACCCTAAGAATCTAAATGATGCTATAAACTGTGCCATATCGGAGGAGAAAATCCAACAGTTCTCTTCCCGCAATAATTTCAAACAAAAATCCAATGAAACTATCCCTAAAAGAAATGACTTTAATGACAGACCCCGATCAAATAATAATATTAATAATGCCAAAAATCAATATGCCCCTTCCCCTTCTAAAGAAGCGCCGTTTTGCAGGTATTGTAGGAAAATCGGTCATACCTTAGATAATTGTAGGCTCCGCGAATATAATAACAAAAAATATTCGAATGGACCTACTAGAACATTTACACCTTACATATCAACTTCAAAAGCGAATGATTATAAACCAGGTCCCCGCATAAATTATGCAGAAAATGACGAAATTGAAGGTGAGTATGAAACGGATAAAAATTTAAACTAATTACTGCCCCGTATAAGTATCGCACGGGTCAGTCTCTTCCTACTAAAGTCGATACTCACGCTAAATTAAAGACCAATGGACAGGGTAACCAGCCCCAAACTCACGGTCTTTCCTTTAAAAGGACCAATGGACAGGGTAACCAGCCCCAAACTCACGGTCATTCCTTCCAAAAGACCAATGGACAGGGTAATCAGCCCCAAACTCACGGTCATTCCTTCCAAAAGACCAATGAACAGGGTAACCAGCCCCAAACTCACGGTCATTCCTTCAAAAAGACCCATGGACAGGGTACTCAGCCCCAAACTCGTGGTCTTTCTTCTACACAGGCCCATGGACAGGGTAGTCAGCCCCAAACTCGTGGTCTTTCTTCTACACAGGCCCATGGACAGGGTAATCAGCCCCAAACTCGTGGCCTTCCTTGTGAAAAAAATTCTGAAATTGAACAAATTTACGAAATTAATACCAAAAGAAAGTATTTACCTTACGTCGTAGTCCAAACATCTGCTAATAAAAATCCACTTACCTTTCTCGTAGACTCTGGAGCATCCCTTTGCATCTTAAAAAATGATTGCTTAACCAATCCAACACAGCTATGCGATACCGATGTCAAGGTAAAGGGTATAGACTCAAAAGATGATAGTCCTATAAAAAGTTTAGGTTACCTTAATTTAAAACTACAATTCTCTCAAGACTTACAAATAATACATAAATTCCATGTCTTTGATAGCATTAACTTACCTTATGACGGTATAATAGGCAATGACTTTTTCATACAACATGCCTGTAGTATTAATTATGACTCAAAGTCCCTAGAAATAGAAGATAGCAATATTAAGTTATCATTTAATGAACCTTCCTATACTATTATGCCTCGGACAGAAACAGTAATTGAATGCTCTGTTAAAAATCCTGAAATGAAAGAAGGGATAATATTTGACCAACACATTTCGGACTCATTGCTTGTATCTAATTGTATAGTAAAATTAAAAAATAATAATAGAATTAACCTAACAGTACTTAATGTATCAAATGAACCTATACATATAAATTCGAATTTATTATTCACATTATCCCCAATTGATTATACCGAATTAGTACACAGAAGACAAGGTCAAATAGGAACTAATAGTATTAAAAGAAGCTTACAATTATTCCAACTCCTTCAAACATCACACTTAAATACCGAAGAAATCGATAACCTAAAAGAAATTTGTAATCAATATGCCGATATATTCCATTTACCAGACGATGAACTGACTTCAACAGAAGTCGTCCAACACGAAATTCAAACAACAACTTCGCAACCGATTAGTGTCAAATCTTATAGATTCCCGGAAGTACATAAAGAAGAAGTAAAGTCTCAAATAACAAAAATGTTAAGCCAAAACATTATCCGACCTTCAAAATCTCCATGGTCATCACCTATTTGGATTGTACCAAAGAAATTAGATTCATCTGGCCAAAGAAAATGGAGGATTGTAATAGATTATAGAAAACTTAATGATATAACGATTGGAGAAAGTTATCCTATCCCTCAAATTAGCGAAATATTAGACCAATTAGGCCAAAGTAAATATTTTTCGACGCTAGACTTAGCGTCCGGGTTTCACCAAATAAATATGAACCCTAAAGATGCACCCAAAACAGCATTTAGTGTACCACAAGGTCATTCAAACAAACACCGAAGATGCCGAACGTTCTGGACGCCTAGTTGAGGTCTCTACACCCGAAACAATTGAAAAAAATTACAATATGGTGTTGGCCGATCGGAGATTAAAAGTGAGAGAGATTGTGGAAGCCATAGGCATTTCACATGGCTCAGTGGTTTCAATTTTGAATGATTACTTGGGTATGAGAAAGCTTTCCGCAAGATGGGTGCCGAGTTTGCTCATAATCGACCACAAACGCAATCGTGTGACCACGTCACAGGAGTGTTTGGCGTTGTTTAACCGCAATATAGACGAATTTTTGCGCCGTTTTGTAACCATGGATGAAACGTGGATCCACTACAATATGCCAGAGACCAAACAACAGTCAAAACAGTGGGTTTCTCGGGGTGAATCGGCGCCAAAGAAGGCCAAGGTGGGTTTGTCAACCAATAAAGTCATGGCGGCCGCTTTTTGGGATGCACGCGGTATAATCCACATTGACTACCTTCAAAAGGGCAAAACAATCAATAGCGAATATTATGCCAACTTATTAAGTCGATTTAATGATGATTTGAAAAAAAATGACCTCATTTGGTCAAGAAAAAAGTTCTTTTCCACCAGGACAATGCAAAGGTGCACACATGTGCAGTTTCTATGGCAAAAATTCATGAAATGGGCTATGAATTGCTCCCTCATCCACACTATTCTCCGGATTTAGCCCCGAGTGACTATTTCTTGTTCTCAAACCTGAAGAAATGGCTCGGTGGAAAGAGATTTGACTCCAACGAAGAAATCATCTTACAAACAAATACGTATTTTGATGACCTCGACAAATCTTATTTTTTGGATGGAATAAAACAATTATAGAAACGTTAGACAAAGTGTATAGAGCTCAAAGGAGACTATGTTAAAAAATAAAATGATTATTTATTCAAAAACCTGTGTTTCATTAAAAAAGTCACGGACTTATTGACCCGCCCTCGTATTAACTTATAATTGAATTTGTAAAACTTATATAAGATTTTAAATAATTAATAATATAAAAAACGTAACCCAAGGTCGAGCCACCATTTTTTATGGTTGTTAGATAGTATGGATACTTTTTTACTGTATAAGTTTGTTGGAAAAATTGGTTATTAAATTCACTGAATATCGCAGATGAGCATTTTGATAAAATATTACAAGAAGCCACTAATGTGGTTCAAGTTCTCAGTAGAAACAAATTTCCCACCAATAAACACGATTCGTCCTAGAAAACGACAAACCCAATTTCAATATGAACACCGTGATGAAGTGTTACTAGACCCCAAGGTCAAATACAAAGTAGAGTTTTTTTTTAGAATCTTAGATCAAACGCTAACCTCTTTAAAGGACAGATTTGAGGAGTTCAAAACGTTTGCTGACGTATTCGGCTTTTTAAGCAATAATTTATTTAATTACAGCAATGAGGACTAATACTAAAGGACTTAATAAGATAACACTTAAAAATATCGTTAAAAGTGTCATTGAGCACACACTTGAGACTGGGCTTATCATTACAAGTACAGTATGCGATCAAAGCCCAGTTAATGATGGAGCGAATACTGAATTAATTAATGAAACAAAAGCTTCATACTTGCAGCGCAACAAAAATTGGAATAAAGACATGTTCCGTGTTAAAAATCAAAATATAATTCCATTATATGATACTCCACATCTAATAAAGGGAATCAGAAATAATATAATCACAAAAGAAAAGATTTAATATATACCATAGATGGCCAAGAAAAAATTATCAAGTGGGAATATTTCCAATTGGTGTATAATGCAGACAAGTCTTACAAAGAGTTGCGTCTCCTCAATAAATTAACTGAAGCACATGTGATTCCTGAAAAAAATAATAAAATGCGGGTCAAATCAGCAACACAGTTATTTAGTCACAGTGTTGCTGTAGTGACTGAACATTTAACAGCAAGAGGTGACCTTCCTAATGAATGCCGACAATTAATAGATTTTATTTTGTTAGTTGATAATCTGTTTGATTCATTAAATGTTAGCAGTTTATCTGTTCAAAATGGTAAAATTTATAAAGGGCCTATTAAACGCAATTCACCTCATCATCAATTATGGCAAAAAGCTAAAGAAATATTAAAAACCACAAAATATATTAAGAAAGTTAGATTTGGAGATAAAACACGATTGACAGAAACTATTGCACCATCTATAACAAATTTAATTAAAACTGTAGAGGGTATAGAATCTCTTTGGAAGTTATTGTCTAGAAAATATGGCATTGATGCAATGTTGACAAGAAATTTCAACCAAGACCCTATAGAAAACTTTTTCGGGAATATCAGGAGTTATGGTGTTAGAAACATTGCTCCAAATACTGTCTCATTTGAGGGGGCCTTCAAGGCTTTGATGATAAATAATTATAGTGAGCCCCATTCAAGTGGAGCCAATAGTGAAGAAGATCACAATGAGCGTCTTCAAAGTTTGGACTTCTTCCTTAAAGATAAGAACATAATAACTCCTGATATCCCTGATACTAATGATACTATTCATTTTAACAGTGAAATTTGCTTTGACCAATCCAATGAAATTGACGCTGGTCAAAGCAATTATGTCTGCGGATGGGTTTTAAAGAGATGCTTTAAATTTATAATAAAAGGTTGTCAACATTGCAAACAAACATTGTTTGAAAATGATATGTCAAATGACAATAATTCATTTATCTATGCCAAAGAGTACATGAATAGAAAATGGCTGTGCTATCCTAATAAAGAAGTGGAATCGTATTTCAAAGAAATCCACAATATGACCACTTCTTTTTTTTTAAAAAAATGTACCCAAAACAGGTTTGAAGAAAAATATTGTTTTGTTTCTGAACATGCTATCTGATTGTCCTTTTAAGTGTGTTGAACATAAAAATAAATTAAAAACATATTTTATAAATATGACAATCAATGTTTTAGTTTATAGTTGGTGCAGAAGTGTCAATTGTATTTTGAGCGGCAAATTAACTGTTAAAGATGAAGATGATGAGGTCAAAATTGCAGCCCAAAATTATTTTAATAAGCACAAGAATTATAAAAATAGAAAATGACCTTTTAAATAAAATTCTCTTTTCGAAAACGTAAAATAAATTCAACAAATATTGTAAGGTACTCTGGTGCCATTTTTATATTTTTGAATTCAGTAATTTTGTGGATAGGCACTGTCTGTACCAAGTATATCTTTGAGACGTCTAAAATCTTAGAGTAAAGCATTCAAAAAGTCGGGAACCAAAAATCAAAATAAATCCGCGAAAAATCCGAAAAGATAGTCTTATTTAAAATGTCAAATATTCGCGTAAATCTAAGAAAGTATAAAAAATGAGATGAAATTATTACATATAAGAATTATTGTCCAATAGAAATTATTCTGTAATAAATAAAATAATGATATGATTACTCAATAATTAATGATTACTCTTGCAGTTATTGTTGTTTTATTTCTTTCTTTGCTTTTTTACTAATATAATGATCCAACAAAGGACTAAGCTGAGAGGTTTTTTCTTTGTTGAAACACTAGTTTAGCACCACTAATAAATCAATGGTAAAATAAATAGATATAGGTAGCTGTATAGCTACCTATATATAGCATTAGTTTTGGTTAGGAAACGGAGATGGCGTCTCAAATTGATTTGCATAAAAAATCCTCAAGAGGGCACTCTTTTCCCAGTTTATAACTATACTCTTTGGGCATCATCAACATAAAATTCTTTAATCAATTAGGCAGTTCGATTTACTAGTGATGTTTTGGTTCTTGTAGATTTGCAACCTTTTCTTATGTTATATAACTTATGATCTTTGTCACTCTTGGTCCTTTTTTCATCTTCGTAGATTAATTTTCGTTTCAGTCTCGTATTTTCTTTTTTTTTTAATAATACTAATTTTAATAATTGTCTTAGTTTTTGGCTTCTATATAACGAATTCTTTTAATTTTTGTTGAGCAGTTGCAATCGTTTGACAATTTTAATGGGTTCTCCTGGGGATCTTTATGTTCTCTATTATTGTTTTTATCATAGTCGTCGGGATTGATTTGTGGCGTAGTGATTATTATATGTTATTAAATAAGACAACTCATAGAATGTAGTGTAGAAATAAATGGATCTTCGAACTGCAAACATTTTATTAATTACCTTGTCCCGTCTTTACATGGCGACCCTGCCAATTAAGGTTCAGTTTCGGGTTCCAGCTGAGTGTAGTACAATGCCTTTGGACATTCTTGTATACGATTATTCGAACGTTGGCGTGTTATACATTGTTTTAAAAAATGGAAAAAGAACAAAGTAAGGACAGATTGTGATTGCACAAAATGCTGCGGGAACTGCGTGGAACAGTTACACAATAACCAAAAAGTAACGAATATTCTTTTCGGGACTTTCCTAATAATTTTAATTTTGGGAGCATAGTTCTACATATATAAAATGTACAAACACTGCCATGTAAATTGGATGGGGTAGAAGATGGCCAGGAGCGCTTTCAGACGTTCGGCCATCAGGCGTGAACTAAGGAAGGAAGAAAAGAGTGGGGAGTCTGTAGTTTAGCCTTGAGACACATTAAACTTGGCTAAGCATTAGCAAGTGGCGAAAAAAAATATAAGTGAGCGTTAAAATGTGTGTGAAAAAGATAAAAGTGAAATTGTGTCATTAACAAAGGTGTTATGGTATTATAGATAGTCTTTTTGTACTTAATATTATTTTGTGTTTGTAATAATTTAAATAGCTGATATATTCGATGTTAAAAAGCAAATTGAGAATATAAAAATTAATTTAACGAAACTTAGTACAAAAAGAACTAAAAAGTTGTTAGAACAGAAATACTTAGGGGGAGTCCGGGAGAGTTTACCAGAGGGGAGACAATAGCCACTGCTCATAGAATCTTTGTGGAACACGATATTGCAACATTGCCGCACTTTTTAGATTCCACACACCTCCCCCTTCTCGCTTACGCGCGGCCATTCCGTTCGGCAGTGTGGTTTAGAACTCAGAAGTAATAACACGTTTTCGCGTCCGGTAAGTGATTATTTTCAATTTTACATATTTTTTAAGTATTGTTTTGTGTGAATAGAATCAAGCGAGGAACTTTTATAAATCTTGAATGTATTTATTCTGGTAAAACCTACGGCACATAACTTTTATCTACGTATCATAGTTTTTTGTAAAAATTAAATAGCACACAGATTGGCGTGGGGTGGGAGACATTAGCCACGCATCTGGAGGAGACTTTACCCAGGGTAATCTCTCCCGCAATTTTTTTTTAATTTTTTTATGATTATTATTACTTTTTTCAGATAAACCTAAAATGCCCTTCAAGTATATAAAAAAAGATACAACAAGGAATAGAAGTAATTTAGATATATCAGTTATAAGAAATGCTTTAGACGACATTGATAAAGGAAAATCTATTAGAGGTGCTGCTTTGGAATACGGTATTGATCGAAACACATTACGGAATTATCATAGAAACAGGAATAAATTAACCAAACTAACTGAACTAGGTAGCCAATTTAAAACTTCTGTAATATTTACAATAGAGGAAGAAAAAGCGCTAGTTGACTATCTGCTAACATGTAGCAAAATGAATTATGGCCTGACCAGGAAGGAAGCTATGAAACTGGCAAATGAGTATGCAATAATCAATTCCAAAAACATTCCACATTCTTGGACTTTAAAAAACTGCGCAGGAAAAGATTGGTTCAGAGGGTTCATGCAAAGAAACTCTGAACTAAGTTTGAGGACCCCGGAATCAACCAGTTTGTCCAGATCAACGAGCTTTAATAAAAAAAACATTACCGATTTCTTCGAAAATCTTAAGGAAGTGAGAGAGAAATACAAATTTGAAGCTCACAACATCTATAATTGTGACGAAACAGGGTGCACAACTGTACAAGAGTGTCCTAAAGTCATAGCCAGCAAGCATGTACGTCAAGTAGGACAAATTACTTCAGCTGAGCGTGGCACTCTTGTGACTGTTTGTTTCGCAGTCAACGCTCTGGGGAATGTTATTCCACCATTTTTTGTTTTCCCTAGGGTTAAATATAATGATACCTTTGTTGCTAGTGGACCGCCCGGCTCACAGGGTGACTCGTATCCAAGTGGATGGATGACAGTCAAAAGTTTCGTGAAATACATGAAGCATTTTGTGAAATATTCGAACGCATCTCTTCAAAGCCCAGTTCTGCTTATCCTCGACAACCACGAGAGTCATGTCAATATTGAAGTCGTCCAATACGCAAAATTAAATGGAGTAACTTTGCTGACTTTACCACCACACTGCAGCAATAAGTTGCAGCCTTTAGATGTTGCCGTTTATTCATCTTTCAAGGCAAGATATAATGCGGCTTTGAATAATTGGATGTTAAGTAACCCAGGGCGAACAGTCACAATTTATAATATACCCGGTTTTGTAAGCACCATTATGTCTGAGGCTTTTAGTCAATCCAATATTTTGAGTGGATTTCGTAAAACTGGAATACATCCCTACAATCCAAACATCTTTACGGATGAAGATTTCTTATGTTCCGCAGTAACGGATAGGGAAATTACTAGTGAACTTCAAGGGCAGGAGGTTCCTTCAGTTGCTTCGCCTTCATTAACTCCCAAAGACCCTCCACATGTAACTATGGTTGAATCACCTTCAACATCAATTATACAACGTCAGTCAGAGCCTTCAACAACTGCATCAGTATTCATGAGCAATATGGAAGAAACTGCGAGATCTGAAGCCAGTTCACCATCAATTTTAACGGAGGAACATTCTGGGTATGCAATCCTAATTTTAGAACAATCAAAAGAGGTGGCTACAACATCTCAACTTCTGGATATTTCAACTGTAGACTCAAGACAAAAGCCAAAAATAATTTTACCAGAAATAATTCGACCTTTTCCAAAATCTGCACCTAGAAAAAGTAAACGTTTTGGTAGACAGCCTGGGAAAACTAAAATTTTAACTAAAACACCAGAAAAACAAGACTTAGAACAAGACCATTGTAAACCGAAAAAGATGAAAACTAAATTAACTAAAAATAAACAGAAAGGCAAAACAAAGAAAAGAACTGTCAAAAGACAAGTTTTACAGTCAAGTGAAAGTGAGACAGATCTTGAAGGAGAACCCAAGTATGTTAGCTCCGATAGCACATGGGATGAATTACCAGATAGAAGTGATAGTTGGTTTTGTTTCGTATGTGGGGCGGACGAAAAGATAGACATGAGACTTTGTATGATTTGTGGCAAATATGTCCATGAAATGTGTGTTGGATTGTCTAAAGAAGATAAGGAAGAGTTTATTTGCCCTCTCTGTTCTAATTAATAAGAAATTTATTAAAATTATAATTATTTTTGATGTTGATTTAATTCTATTGTTTTGAATTGTATTTTTGTTCTTTAGTTTAATAGTAATTTTAATTTTTGTTAAGTTGATAATGAAAAGGGTATCCAAGACTGATTAGTAATTTAATAGTTATTGTAATGATGATTATAAGACATACTGTTTTAGACAGATTTAAGTAATTATTGTCAAAAATTAGAAAGTATTGTTGTTTGTTGTGATTGATATTATTGCTTTACATTAAAAAATTATAATTTTGTTATGAAGGACTACTAATTATAAGCTTTTAAATACTTATTATTTTTATAGTAACTAAGTTATATCTCAAAATATGTGTGATACTAGTTAGTTCCTTATATACATACCTCAAAATACCTCATGTTAACATTTTATTAAGTATAATAAGTGCCTTGTCTTTAATATTATTATTTTTTTATAAAATAAAAGTTGTTTAGTGATTATTTTACTTATTTTAAAACCCGGGTAATAGCTCCCTACTTAGGGGGTCAAGTCTCCCACCCAGGTGGGAGAAATTAGTCAAATCTCATTTTGGAAGATTTCGTTAATAACTGCGAAACTATTGAAGTTACATCAAACTTTCCTAAGAGAAAATATAGCTAAATAATGCAGCTCAAGATACAATTCACAAAAAATAGTAACTTCTAGTTGTAGAAAAAAATATAAGCATTTTAGTCGAGCACGGGTATACTCTCCCGGACTCCCCCTAGTGTCAAAAGGGTTATATGACGAATATATTAAATACCGTAACGAGTTAAATTTTAATGTTTCTAAAGGGTATATCTAACAGGAGGAGATAAATCACTCATTAGTTGTTTTTGAGGAAATTGATTTGTGTTATCAAAAAGTCCAAACATTTTGTAAGTGACCAAGATTTTAGCACCATGACTAAATTTGACATGAAAACTGCTACTTCCCTTCTACCTGTTATGACAGGGGATGAAGAAATTACAAAAAAGTTAATAGATTGTATCGAATTTTATAGTCAAAGCATTAAAAAGGAACATGAACAGTTACTAATTTCCTTTGTCCTTAAAACGCGTTTATCTAAACATGCCAAATTACGTTTGGCATCTAATTATGAAACTTCCACAGATCTTATTGTAGACATGAGGAATAATCTGTTGACTAAGCAGTCAGCCACGGCACTACAGTTAGAGATGTTAAAATCTAGACAAGGTGCACACAGTATTGAAGAATTTGGTAAGAAACTTGAGGATTTGTTTGTTGAATTGACAATTTCGCAAGCTAACAATAACAATACAGCGATTCACCGAAGGCTTGAGAAACGGTCGATTAAGCACTATTCTAGCAGCCCGCAACTATTTAGAGTTAAAAGACGTTATAAGAGCAGCCAAAGATGAACTTTCCCGTCAAGGCTCTAGCTCATCATCCTAGATAATTTTCACGAGTCAACATCGGGGTAAGTACCAACCATCATATAGGGGACATAACCAGAGGTCGAGTTGTAAACAACGTATATACCCCAAATCGCACATTTAAACTGATGCCGAATCAAGTACCTAAGTCGTTCCACCGAGGAAATAATAGAGGATTCACAAATAATTCTCGAGGACGCGGACAGTTTTGGACGTGCTATACATATATTCGAGGTAATTATAATAGCACTAAAGGACAGCATGGGTTTGTTTTAAACCAATTCCAAAACGGTATTCAAGGTACTCCTTCGTCGGAAAATAATCAAAATTTAGAGTTTTTTCGATTCTAACTTTATTCTAGCATGCAATACATATAATAATTTCGTAGAATTAACAATATTAGGTACCAAAAATAGAATGTTAGTTGACACGGGCACCTCGATGTCGGTTATTAAATACGTTATACGATGTAATAAGAGATAGGATGAACGGCGGAGGTGGTGCAGGACGATTCGCGCGCACCTAGGACAGAGTCGCCGCGTCGCGCCGCACCACAATAATTCGTATCGGATCGATTCGCAATCGCGTTTCAGTTGAGCCCACGTAGGACGCGGCCTTAAAGTAAAATGATCCACAAAAATGAAAAGAAGTACAACAAAAGAATTTGATAAGAACCAAAAATAAATACGTACCGATCTGTCGACTTTCTGAATCAGAAAAAAAAGTTAAGCGAAAGGAATGGCGAAGATCTAAGCAACGAAAAACTGACGAAAAAGGGATAAAACTAAATTTTTCGAAAAGTGCAAGACAGCGAAATAACAAAAGAAAATGAAAAAATAAAAAAGTAAATACATTAATCAGAAAAAATAAAGCAGTGAAGACAACAATTTATATGTACAAGATTGTACCAGCAGCGCATTCACAGGACAATGAACAGGTTAAAGAGAATAATAATGATTTTGTTTGACAGCCCTAGCATATTTTTCTATTTACCCCCTAGTCGTACCTTTTCACCCCATATTCAGTATAAATAGAAATCCTGTAGATTTTACTAAAATTTTACTAAAACCAGTGCATTAACCAGAATACTTACTGGTCACTGCAAACTCAATAAACATATTTATTTATTTATTTATTAAAGGACAACCAACAAAAGATAATATCTTATTTTTTATTTTTATTATTTTTATTATTTTTTTTATTTATAGTGTCATACTTATTAATTTTATAATTTAATTTCAACTTTATTTATTAACTTATTATTATTACTTAATTTTAAATTTCCATCTTGTAATTGAATGTTATTGACGTGATTTAAAAAAAAAAGAGCATGTTGTGATAACCTATAACTAAAAGAACATTTATGAAATTGTTAGCACATGAATATCATACCGTATTTAATATATTATGTTAAATATAATATATTATATTAAAAACGGTATGATATTCATGTGCTAACAATTTCATAAATGTTCTTTTAGTTATAGGTTATCACAACATGCTCTTTTTTTTTTAAATCACGTCAATAACATTCAATTACAAGATGGAAATTTAAAATTAAGTAATAATAATAAGTTAATAAATAAAGTTGAAATTAAATTATAAAATTAATAAGTATGACACTATAAATATAAAAAATTACATAATCAGACACATAATTAGAATAAATTAGATAATAATATTTAAATAGTCAATCCAATAAAACAAGAAAATTCTATTTGGGATTGGAATTAATGGCAACGCACAAAACAAAGTAATACAAAAAAATTATCATAGTTTATCGTAGTAACGATTAGCGATAAGTTGAAGGGTTACGATTCTGATATACTTAGTTGAACTTGAAACCGTCAATGAAGAAATAACTTCGGGAACATTTTCGGCCCCAAACCCAGTATTTCCAAGATCCAATAGAAAACGGATGCGTCAAAATAAATATGAGATCATATCTTTTCTGCAGAAAAGAGAAGAAACGCGCCAAAAAGCTTTAGAGACTATAGCTAATAGAAATGTTGAGGACCCAGAATTAGCTATGTTTTCAGACTACGTTAAAAATGTTTTACAAAAATTACCGTCCACTTTGAAAGTAAAGGCAAAAAAAGAAATTTTTGACGTCCTCGTGAAGTATGAATATGAATCGTTGAACGTTGAAGCATCTACACCTATGCTGCCTGCTAAACTTAATTCGCCCAAACTATCAGCCGATTCCGTTCCGCGTACAAATCTAAATACGCTGTCCACATATAACTTCCGGGCGTACTCGCCTATATCACAAGCAGTGGACATGGACATGGAAGCTACGGACTTAAGTTTAATACGTATTATTACAGAAGATGACGGAACATACGATTAGCTTTAAAAAAATATTTAATAAATTAATAAACAATTACTTACCTCAATGTTAAAAATAGTTTCTCTTCAGGACCTATACAATGTCTGGTAGTCTTTGGTGTCAATTCTTCATAAACTAGAGACAAAATGAAATTAAATTGTCTTTTGTTAAAACGACTATATTCTCGAAATTTATCATCATTATAATTTAAATGTTCTTGTATTAAGATTTTATAAAGACCCTGATCGCTGCGGGTTTCATAAATCGGGTCAGTTCGATCTCTAGTACTCAGTAAATACAAAAGCAAGAGATCATCATCTTCTTCCTCTTCTTCAAATAGTTTTTGCAAATCTTTCACAATAGCTTGATTCATAATCGTTTCACCGTATGTATTTAGTAAACACAAGAAAATTCGACTGTCTAGGTGACTGGTCGCAAATTGACTGGAGGCCGCAGTGATACTGTCACCGCCCTCGGAATTCAACAGAGCGTCAGAGACGCTGCGACAGAGCCGCAGCGTCTACTAACGCGCTAACGCAGCGTCAGTGTCGCTTGGCTCGGAACTGTACCTTAACTGTAAACGTTTTTATCGATTTACTGAAAATTAAGATTTTGTAGATACGAGGTTTACACAGAAACGGGACGAACTGACAAACGCTTTTTCAGATACGATTACGATACGATAAGCATGCCGGCAGTACGGAGTTCCAAGATCCAATATACAGGACCGGCTTTCCGGTCGTGTTGCTGATTAAAGAAGAAAAGTTGGCCCAGATCCTATATTTGGTTTTGATTGAGAAAAGAAAATCGTTGATTGGATAATTGATTTGGCGAAAGCTGAAATTCCAATCAACAAATATGACCTTCTGGATATGGTGGCTGAGCTTGCAAAAGAACTGTGCGTAGACCATCGCTATTAATAAGGCGCGAGAAGCGATTAAGGAAAGTTTTATTCGTAAATGGTTTGTAAACTTATACTCTTTCTTAGTTGAACGAAATGCATTAGACATTTTAGATGATCCGACTCGTATTTTAAACGCTGATGAAACTGCTGTTTCATTGCCTCCTAAATCAGGGAAGGTTCTAGCTCCTAAAGGCTATAAAAACTTGTACGTTGTCAAGAAGAGCAATGAGAAAGAGAATATAACAGTGATGGTGGTAATGATTGCATCTGGGGTAATATGTCCGCCATTAGTGGTGTGTATAAAAGACCACCTAAAGCAGTCGTCGGCAACATGCCAGCTGATTGTATTTTATGGAACTCGGAGACTGGGTGTCCATTTGCCGTAGAACAGGTACATTTTTCAAAATGCGTAAAAGACGCTCAGGTACGAAATACAATTGCTGCTCAAACAGGTTCACAAAAACCTCTGAATGAGAGGCATTTTGAAACAGCCAGAAAAGTGTTTTACCTTATGGAGGAGAATATAAGTAAGCTGGGTATAAATCCTAGCATAATATTACGTGAACTTGATCGCACAAAGGAGTCATATTTACAAACGGCGATCTAAATCGAAGACACCACGAACTTCACAATCTAGTTCCACGCCAGACTCTCGAAATCATTAGAAGTTAAAAAACCTCAAACACACCGGAAACTTCACGATCCAGTTCAATTACCCGCCATTATAAATCGTTTGAAGTCAACCAATCCTCAATACCCCGAATACACCCCGACCTCCACAATCCAGTTCAATCCTCTAACATGACATCGAAGACACCCTAAGGTTTAATCCATTCATCCACTTCAACCCCTAAACTTTTAGAATCCTTTGAATTTAAATTAGTACCTATTAGTTCCTCCTGAAGTCTTGGTTTTACTGGGCAATAATTTCATGTTATGTTTGAATTTTATTTTTATATAATTATGTTAAAAGATTTTTATTGATCTTAAAGCCAGAAGTCGCTATTTATTTGAGTCCAGATTTTAATCTGTTACTTAATTTTATTTTTAAGTCATAAAAGAGAGTAAAAATATACAGATTTTGTGAATTTATTAATTGTACAGTGCAACCTTAATATAAAGTACCTCAATGTAACGACTTCCTCGATTTAACAAATTCTTCGTAATCCCCTTGAATTGTCCATAAGAGTCAATATAAAATATACCTTTACATTGCGAACATTCTTTGCGTACAACCTCTTTATAACGAATTTTCAACTATCAGGAAAAAGTATTCATACCTCTAATTAACGAATTTTGCCAACCCAAAACCTTTATATAAAGTTTCCACCAATAATATAACTCTTAATCTTATAATGTGATTCATGTCTCGACATGTTTCGACACGCTTTTGTTTGTACAGTAATCATTGTTGTTTTGATGGAAAGTAATGTAAACACCTCTGCTCGTCACTATTGTTAAAGATTTAAGTTAAAATGGCTCAGAAACGTAAAAGGTGTTCCTTATCGGTCGCAGAAAAGCGAAACATCATTAATTATGTTGACCAAAATCCCATGACGAAAAAATTATACATAGCTAATAAGTTCGGGATTCCCGCAAGTACATTGGCTACAATTTTAAAATTTAAAGATAAGTTTTCAGAAGAAAGTTTGAATGTAAACAGTAAAAGATTAAAATCATGCGAGTTCAAAGACATAGAGGAATGTGTGTTAAAGTGGTTAAAACAGTGCCGAGACAAAAAAATCCCAATCGTAGGCCCTATTCTTCAGGAAAAGGCTCAGCGGTTTGCAGTAGAATTGGGACATGAAGGGTTCCGTGCTAGCAACGGGTGGCTTCAAAATTTCAAAAAACGAAACGAGGTTGTTTTTCGAAAAATATGCGGTGAAAGTGGTAGTGTTAATGAACAAGTATGTGATGATTGGAAAGACAAACTGGCAGAATTGACCACCGGATACGATCCCGAAGACATCTTTAACGCCGATGAAACTGGACTATTCTATAAATGTTTATCTGACAAAACCTTATCATTCAAAAGCGATAAATGTAATGGTGGGAAAAACAGTAAACTTCGCTTAACAGTACTGCTGGGAACAAATTGTACTGGGACTTACAAACTAAAGCCACTCATCATCGGAAAATATCAAAAACCGCGATGTTTTAAGAATGTCAATAATCTGCCAACTGATTACACGTCCAACCATAAGGCTTGGATGACCAGTGATGCTTTTTGCAATTGGCTTAAAAGTCTGGATAAAGAGATGAAGAAAAAAAACAAGAAAATTGTAATGTTCATCGATAATTGTACTACACACGGAGATATTCCTAACCTGAAAAATATAAAAATAAAGTACTTACCTCCAAATACCACTTCAAAACTACAACCACTGGATCAGGGCATCATCCAAAGCTTCAAAATGCATTATAGGAAGGAAGTTGTCAGACGATTTCTTGCTGATTTTGAACGTCAAACACCAACTACAATTGACGTTTTACAAGCCATGTGGATGATCGCCAAAGCTTGGAATTTAGTCACTGAAAAGACCATTGCAAACTGCTTCAAGAAAAGTGGGTTTAAAGTAACATGCGAAGATGAGGAGGACGATGTACCACTCGCAGAACTTGCTAGGACCTGGCAAAGAGTTCAAGAAGAATTACACCTTCAAGAAACTGACTTCGAAGACTTTGTTACCTTTGATAATGATTTGGCCATCTGTGGAGAACTAACTGATGCTGACATCGTCACATCTGTGTTGCCAGTTACTAATGCAGAAGCGGATGAAGACGAGGAAGAAGAGGGTGAAATTGATGAGCATAACTTCACAATAAAAGATGCTTGTAATGCTTTGAATACAATAAAAATCTGTGTTTCTCAAAAAGGGAGGTTTGAGTGACGATGTAGTGAAATCCATAACGAAATTAGATTGCGCTTTGGATGTCATAACTCATACCGGTGGTCAACAGACAAAATCAATGACTTTTTTTCTAATCAATGAACAAAATTGAGATTAAGCTACTATATAACCACAGTGTTAATTGTTTTTGATTATGAGAAAAAAAATTTATTATCTACCTAATTGTTTTTAAATACATAGCAAATACATATAGTAATTTGATAAAAATGTGTTATCATTTATTAGTAGAAGTTGTTCGCTATAACAAGATAAGTACGTAATATTGAGGTGAATAAAACTATTCTTTTACCTCTTTATAACGAATTTTAGACCAATCTAACCTCAACATAACAAACCTCAGTTCAACGAATTACTTGATATTACGAATATTTTCTTGTTCCCCTCCGATTTGTTATATCGAGGTTGCACTGTATTATTTTCATACTATTACAAACCTTACAGGCTAATACACGAGAGTCGTTTTTCTAACGTAAATTAGGTGGCCGATGACCAGTGCATGATAACTGAGTGAAAAGGCCCATAGCCGGTATGTTTGCTATTTTTACGAATATATATATTTTTTTAATTATGTATTACTGATACGTCTATACACGCTAGGTTTAATGAAACTAGACTACTGTAGGATGAAATGAATTTTTTTTGAAGTCTTGGAGTACAACCTTATGATAGAAATCAACTCCGAAGTCAACTAGTCACTTAAACGGTTGATAACCAGTATATTTACACTACTTGTTGAGTTAGTAATAAGTGTACCGAATACCGAAGTTATTCCATACATATTTTATTAAAGAGCTGTGTTTTTTTTTATAAAAAAGATTTTTTATAGAAATGTTAACATTCTTAAAAGTTTTACTAACCTAGTCGGATATTGATAGGCTTTTTCTAAAGATTTAAAAAAAAGTTTTGTGTTTCTTATTTTCTTTATTTGTTTGTAAACCTGAATAATAAATCACAGTATAGGTATTTTTCCAAGAGATTTGTTTTATTTTCATAATTATTCCACAAAATATATCACCTATAACAATATAAACAAAAGCACTATAATAAAAATATATAACCTACAACATAATTATATTTTTTATACCATTCTGAATTAGTGCTTGATTACGCTCCACCTGATGGTAAGTGGTAATGCAGTTGTTGATGGTAAGTCGCACTAATTCAGTAGCCACTTATTCACTCTTGCCTTGAAGACACACATATTGTAATCGGACGAAAACACAACTATTTTTGGTGAAGATTAGATAAAAATAAACAGATTAACAGTGCACTAATTCAAAAAAAGTTGGTAAATATTAAGCAATGGTTTTGTCATGATTACTAATTTAACACGAAAAATTAAAACTATCAAGTGATACTACTATTTGATGACAAGCCATTGGTCAAATAAATACCTAACTTTGTAAAATTACTTATACACAAGATTATTTTTATATCAAATAGAAAGAATAAAACATTTTTTTCTATTCTTGAAAACAGATATTTTGAGTTCTGCTACTTTTTATCTAGGTGTGCAATATGTTACACTGGATCATTATTTATAAAACATCAAGACTTAGGGGGATAAAGACTAGTAATAACAAGAAAAATTTTATATGTCAATTGATGGGGCTCTTTAGAGGGAACATTTTTAATTATTTATAAATTTACGAACAAACAACTATTTGTGTTGAAAAAACAAAAACCGAACTAACGAAGTGAAAATAAAAATTCTAAAATTAGAAATATAAATACCTGGGGATTAGGACTCATTTCTTAAATTACTTACTAGGCACAAACAATACATATGACATGAAATAATGATATTATTTAATCTATCACTTACAGAAATTACAAGAAAAATTAATGTTTATTTTTGAACAGCACACGATTCGATGCGTTATGCCGAAGTACAGACATTTGTCATCCATGGTACAGACTACATAGCAGCACACCGCACAGCCGAACTCGAGTCAGAATCGATTCTTGCTTTGGACTTGCTTATTCGAATGCCCATGTTATTTTACTCGAGTACTCCGGAGTCCGTGCTCGAGTCTCACTCTACTCGTATAATATTCGGTTTTTGGGATTCGAGTCTGACGGAATCGCTTCCGGTACTCGATGTTTTTATCTGAAGATCTTTCTGATTGGTAGAACGACCGGAGACGAGTTATAGATTAGAGTCTGGTCTCAAAACTCGAGTCAAGTGTACTCGATTAGTGAATTCGATTCAGTATCAAAACTAGAGTACTGTACTCGAGTCTAGGATTCGAGTCAGGATCCAAATACCATACGAACTAACTGGCATCGACTCGATCCCATGAAATGGCGACTTGAGTCTTGACACAACTGAAACCCACCAACACTAAGGATGTTCGATGATCATCGATGTTAGAAATTAAAACATCGATGTTCTTACATGTCAAACATCGAAACATTGATGTCATAAACATAATGGATTATTAGGAACTAACTAAAAATCGATTAATACAATCAATTGGCAAAAAATATTGGACAAATAATAAATGAAATAGATATTTGTTAACTACTTTCAATTTTTTAAATGAATATTTTACACTACATTGTTTATTAGTTTCTTTTATTTCATTAATAATAAACTGTAAACAATGTTACGATTTTATTTATCTAATTCTAATATAATAAATACATGTGCGAAAATGTCGATTTTGGCTAACATCGATGTTTTGAGTAGGATAAACATCGAACATTGATGTTGAGCTATCGATGCCAAAATCGATGTTTCTGCACATCGACATCCCTACCAAACACAGACCAATAAACATAGATAAATAATATAGTACAGAGTAAGTATCACAAGTGTTGATCACAGATAAAACAAAAGACAAGAATATAAGCGGTTTGTACACTGCTTGCTGAATGCTGACTTGCTGAATGCTGAACCCAACATTCAAAAAATATTGAGGGAAAATTTTGGACGTTCTTTTTATACTTTGTATATAATATAGTATTTTAAAAAGCAATTAAGTACTGTATTATCTAAATTAGAGACTTCATAGATAGATAATGCACATTATCATTCTAAAAAAAAGCAAATACAAGCAGTAGTGTTCTATTCAAACTTATTCACATGTTTTAACATAAAATAACATATAATATTTATCAATTTTAAATTTAATATACATACACACATGTAAATCAATTTTAGGGATATTTTGATTGTGGTTTTAGATGCGATTGTAGCTACACTCAACGAAGAAATTATAATAACTGCATCATACGTCATCAACACGATATGTATGGCGTATGGTAGCAATGCTATATAGTATTACTAGCTTTAATTATTAATGTTCTATAGTTATCTCACTACATTTTATTACAAGCAATGTGAATGCAACTTTTTAGAGTCACGCCTACTTCTGAAAAATAAATATATAATATTTTATTTTCTATAAATGAATATAATAATTTTCATCAACTCTAATATGGGTGCAAATAAATATTTTAAAAACAATGTATTTTATCTTAGTTATAAATTAAAGATTTCTATTTATAATACAAAATAAAAGTAAAAACATAATTTTAATTAAATAAATTAATTTAAACGTAATTAAACTGTTTTATCTTCTCCTATAACATTAACTTCAATGGCAGGTAGTTGATGTTATAAGGAGTAACTTAGGCTACTTTTATTTTAGTTAAAGAATTAGGGTTCCGCTCAAAAAAATTAAAATGTACCTAGGGACGAACCAGAACGAAGCGAGGGTGAGTCGCCTATATATAAATATATTTCGTGTATCTCAGAAACGGCTCTATTCAGTTTGGATCTAGTTTTTATTTGATTTTAGATGATAAGGTTTTGCTTTTTAATGTTCATCTTTATAAGTATTTTTTCTAAAAAAAAACCCAAAAAGAAATATTTTTTTATTATTATCGCTCTGATAATCTTTTATTATCTCTCTCCCGCTGACAATGTCATACAACGCCATTTCGTAAATTTTTATGGTACACACGTTTTAATAACAAACAACAAGGGTAAACAAGTTACCAATTTCTCTGAAGTGGTTATATTTCATCATCCAATCTTCTTTTGTTTTTAAAGACTTGTTCTATTTCTAATCGAGTTTTGTCTTTCGTTTCGGGCATATGTATATATAAATATATAGTACATAGACCACATATTATACCAAAAAATAGGAAAGCCCCATGTATAGCAAAATATGAAAATAATAATGGTGTTAGTTTTATCAACCACGAATAAGTTACGACAAAAGTTATTCCAGTGATCATCAAACAACTGGATTGAAATTTTGTTGGGATAATCTCCCCAAAATATGATAATCCAAATATCATTGGACCAGAACTTATTGCTAAAGAATACAATGTTAGCAAGCCTATTACAACGTAATTGTTATGTTTTAAAATACATAATTTGACTAAATATAAATATAACGAAACAATAAATAATAAAAATATACTTGTAAAAGACGAACTGAAATACAACATTCGTCTTTTCAAAATTTTTGATAAAAATGACCCAAAATACATTCCAAATACGGTAATTCCGTCTAAAATCAACATGGCAGTGTAAGCAGTAGTTTCATCTTCCGTTATTTTTTTAAATATATCTAATATATACAAGGCACACACAATTTTACCAGTAAAATTGTACTGCACAACTGTTAGCATACATATTGATAATGGCTTATAAAATTCCATGCTTTTAAACATTTTAATGAAGCTTAAATTATTACTGGTCGACATATCGTGACTCGTTGTTATGATTTCCTGCAAATCTTTTTCAGATTTTACGTTTTGGCCATGTAACCATCTGTATGAGGCTTTACATTCTTCGAATCGACCTTTACTGGCCAACCAATATGGAGATTCAGGCCACCAGAACACATTGAATGTATAGATCGAGCAAATGAAACCTAAAATTGCAATGTATTTCCATGGAAAAAAAGTACCTATTGCATTGGATACCCATAATCCCCAGAAAAAGCTAGCTGATTTCA